CCACTGGTTAATTGTCCTCACTGTTAGGAAGTTTCTCCTTAATTCCAGGTTGCTTCTCTCTCTTTGGTTAGTCTCCAACCATCGTTTCTTGTCTTGCCTTCAGGTGCTTTGGAGAATAAGTTGACCTCCTCTTCTTCTTTGTGGCAGCCCTAGTCCTTCTTTTCTTTTTTCTTTTTTTTCATTTTTTTTTAAAAAATATTTTTTGCTATATGAAGAAAGAGCAACAATTTCAATGTCTATATAAACAATTTTTTTTCGGCATGGGAAAAAAATTAAGGAAAAACACTCTTTGAAAAAACCAGTCTGGCTCTCCACAATGGAGGCATTGATACTCCCAAATGTGATTGATATGGGGAAAAAAATAATATTAAAATATAAAGATATTTTGAATGAGAAAGGGGAATTGCGAAGCAAACGGGAACTGAATAGCCAAGGGATCGATTTAGCGTGGTGGCCGCAGGTACAAATACAATCAAGATATGAAAAAGATGCTGAAACATACAGTTTTTATAAAAAACCAACAGAGTTGGACCAGATTCTAACGGGAACTGATGAGAAACTAATTTTTTAAAAAACTATACCCTAGTCAGTGGTGAAATTCAATTTTTTTTACTACCGGTTCTGTGGGCGTGGCTTGGTGGGCGTGGATACTGCAAAATCTCCATTCCCACCCCACTCCAGGGGAAGGATATTGCAAAATCTCCATTCCCTCCGCACTCCAGGGGAAGGATACTGCAAAATTCCCATTCCCACCCCACTCCAGGGGCAGGATGTTGCAAAATCTCCATTCCGACCCCACTCCAGGATACTGCAAAATCTCCATTCCCTCCACACTCCAGGGGAAAGGATATTGCAAAATCTCCATTCTCTCCCCACTCCAAGGGAAGGATACTACAAAATCTCCATTCCCTCCCCACTCCAAGAATACTGCAAAATCCCCATTCCCTCCCCACTCCAGGATACTGCAAAATCTCCATTCCCTCCCACTCCAGGGGAAGGATATTGCAAAACCTCCATTCCCATCCCACTCCAGGGGAAGGATACTGCAAAATCTCCATTCCCTCCCCACTCCAGGGGAAGGATATTGCAAAATCTCCATTCCCTCCCCACTCCAGGGGAAGGATATTGCAAAATCTCATTCCCACCCCACTCCAGGGGGAAGGATATTGCAAAATCTCCATTCCATCCCCGCTCCAGGAGGATACTGCAAAATCTAAATTCCCTCCCCACTCCAGGGGGAAGGATACTGCAAAATCTCCATTCCTTCCCCACTCCAGGGGAACGATACTGCAAAATCCCCATTCCCTCCCCACTCCTAAGGGAAGGATATTGCAAAATCTCCATTTCCACCCCACTCTGGGGACAGCCAGAGGTGGTATTTGCCAGTTCTCTGAATTAATCAAAATTTCCGCTACCGGTTCTCCAGAACCTGTCAGAACCTGCTGGATTTCACCCCCCGACCCTCGTCCTTCTTTTTATTGGACTGGAAGACATACCCAATTCCTGCAACCGTTTTTTGTTTTTGTTTTTTTTTTGCATGTTTTAACCTCCCTTCCCCCAGTCCTCTTCGTTGCTCTTCTCTGCCCTCTTTCTAGAGTCTCAATATCTTTTTTTTTTGGTATTGTGGTGGGCAGAATTGGATGCTTTGCACTTTAAGTGGGGAGTTGTGAGGGTTTATCGTGGCTTGCAATCCTGGGGGGTAGAGGATGTTTCTAGTGACCCAGAGCGATCAGGACAGAGGTCGGCCTTCCTTGGTGGCTCCTGGTCTCAAATATTGCCTTGCCTTTCCCTTCGTGTCCATCCTCCGCGGCCCCTGGAGGTAAACAGTGGTTTTATAGTCTTTTACAAAGGCAGAAGTCTGATAAGACCTCAAGATACGATCTGAACGAAAGCATGGCTGTATCCAGGAGGCTGAGAACAGCCTGGGAATTCTTTGATTTTTTTTTAAAGGCCAATTTTAAGAACCTTTTGGAGTTATGAAAGATCAGAAGTTCTAAGCGTGGCCCCTAGGAAAAAAAACGTCAGAAGGGCCTTTGAACAGAGAAAAGAGGGAGATTTGAGTCATGTACTCAAAGTCACTCATTGTTCTGACTTGGGCTTCCCGAGACAGTAAAAAGCAACCGATTAGTCCCAAAAAATAGAATATAAAATAGAACACCGCTTAGTGGAGGGGGCGAAAGCCCTACTAAGCAGGTATATACAAAAGTATAAAGGCTATTGCTTAACGCATTGGAAGCCTCCCTGAGTCTCCAGAGAAGGGCGGCATGTAAATCGAACTAATAAATAAATAAATAAATAAATAAATAAATAAATAAATAAATAAATAAATAAATCCCTCTTTTTATTTCAATGGCTGTGAATTCTGTCCATTTCCAGCCCGTGATAAGTCACAGATAGTTTGTAAAGAGTCCGATGGACGTCTGCCCCAGTCCTTCAGGATAAGGCTGGTAAGCACCCACATAATAATAATAATAATAATAATAATAATAATAATAATAATAATAATAATAATAATAATTTTATTTCTATACCGACCTTCTCCCGAAGGACTCAGGGCGGTGTACAGCCTGATTAAAAGCACAGACAAAATTTAAAAATAATTAAAATTATTAAATAATTGGCTCAATTATAAAACCCCCAAATTTAAAACCCCACATTTAAAACCAATTATCTTTATCTCCCTCGACACGCTGCCAAAGACTTAATTGGCAATTAGCTTTGCAAGACCACACGGAACACAGAGCCGAAACGGAGCTTCAGAATTTAAACCAGCCAGAACAAACAAAGTTGCTTCCTGCAAAGGCTCATGTGCCTTTGCTCCTCCTTTATGTCTTATGGGAGGGGCCAATCATCTCCAAGCCTTACTCCTGAGTCTCCCCTTTTGTCTTAACTGTTCTTGCCCTCTGGCAGCTCTGCGCATGCGTGCACCGGGAAAAGGCTCCCCCTGTTCCTCTGCCTCGCTGATGTCAGACTCTGGAAGCTTCGGAGTCAGTACATAACTCTCAGATGGCCCTGGCCCCATCTCTGCCTCCGATGCAGAGCCCTCATCTGAGCCTTCCCCAGACTCCAGGACTGGCCCGTGTTGCTCCCCAGCCTCCTCACTGTCCTACTCTGTTTCCAGCTCCACGGGCTGCTGGTGGACCACAACACAACACTGCTGAAAGGAACAGTGGAAGGAAAGGAGCTGACAAAGAAGCAACAGGCACAACTGGATTGATTCAAAGGATGAGGAAACAACATGCAAACTTCGGGAAGGAAAAGACTCTTGAACCCAACAGTTGTGCAAATATACAGGGGACATTACAGGCAAATAAGATTTTATTAGGGGAAAAAATCACACAGCATTCTATGTTAATTGCGAACGGTCCTTTGTGGGAAGGGATTGGGACAAAAGGAGAAGCCAGAATATAGAGAGTTTTCTATTATTGCTTCCATTAAAAAAAAAAAACACAGCAAAATTGGGCAGCAAACGATAAATTCCGGGAAATTCAGAATGTCTACCTCTAGCGGACTCTCTCTGCCTCTTCTGAAATCTTGGATTCAGAGCTAAACCAGATAAACCTTCAAATTCACAGAGTTACAAAAGTCCAGCTTGCCAGCAAAAGGTAGGAGAATTAGAAATTCAGCTGCCACAAAACCACGTTGGTTGGTACCCAGCATCTGCCAACCATGTTCAAATCCTTCAGCAATACCTCTATCCTTAGTTGGTCGCAACGGGGGAGAGAGAGGCATAGCTGTTGCTTAGAGTAGAGTAGAGTAGAGTAGAGTAGAGTAGAGTAGAGTAGAGTAGAGTAGAGTAGAATAGAACAGAACAGAATAGCTGTTGCTTTGAATAGAATAGAATTAGAGTAAAGTAGGGTAGAGTAGAGTAGAGTAGAGTAGAGTAGAATAGAATAGAATAGAATAGCTGTTGCTTTGAATAGAATAAAATTAGAGTAGAGTAGCGTAGAATAGAATAGAATAGCTTTTGCTTTGAATAGAGTAGAATAGAATTAGAGTAGAGTAGAATAGAATAGAATAGAACAGAATAGTTGTTGCTTTGAATAGAATAAAATTAGAGTAGAGTAGCGTAGAATAGAATAGAATAGCTTTTGCTTTGAATAGAATAGAATAGAATAGAAGTAGAGTAGAGTAGAGTAGGGTAGAGTAGAGCAGAGCAGAGCAGAGTAGAATAGAACAGAATAGCTGTTGCTTTGAATAGAATAGAATTAGAGTAGAGTAGAGTAGAGTAGAGTAGAGTAGAGTAGAGTAGAGTAGAGTAGAGTAGAGTAGAGTAGAATAGCTTTATTAGCCAAGTGTGATTGGACAGACAAGGAATTTGTCTTTAGTGCATTAGCTCTCAGTGTACATAAGGAGAATAAAATTCTGTTTTAATTTATTTTAATTTTTATATTGTATGTATTTTAATCTTGGCTGTTCAGCGCCCTGAGTCCTTCGGGAGAAGGGCGGTATACAAATTTAATAAACCTTAACCTTAACCTCAAAATACTTTCATCAAGAATAAAAAGATCCAACCCTTAACTAATAAGCTATCAAATCGTACTAGGAAACAAATAAAAACAATATAAATTGAAAGACACAAGCAACACGGTTATACTCATAAGTGGGAAGAGACAGATACCACTAAGGAAGAGAAGAAGAATAGGAAGGCAGTCTTAGTAAATTATTCAGTTTGCTAAGTCAGTTCCGTAACATTTGGATCATTTGCTTCATTTGAACCGATTTCCAACCTGTCTTAAAACAGCCACACACCCAAAAATGCAGAGCAAACACGGTTGAGTGTGTGTGTGTGGCCCGGAGGAAAAAATTCCCCGCCGTATCTCCTGAGATCTTCCTTCCCAGGAATGCGTGCAATCATTCCTTGCCCATCCATATCACACATTCGGGCGTCTACTAACAGGTAGCAACTTCGAGGAGAGGGAGGCACAAGGGATTCCCCTCTCCTCACCTGGCATATTTCAAACAGCTGAGGTTTTCGCCCTCTTTTTTTTTCACCCTACCTGAACTGGCGTCTCCTGGGCTGGCATTCAGAGCCGCCAGCAATGCCAAGGGAAGGAAGGCAGACCACAAACCTGGAAAACAGAAAAGGAAATAATTTGGGGTGGGTGGGGGGTGGTGGAAGGAAGGTGTGGGGAGCCACGAACTCGCCTGGGACTCACAGTGCATTTTGTGCCGGAGAGAAGGAAGGAAGGAAAGAGAGAAGGAGGGAAGGGAGGGTCACTCTTGGTTCCACCAGGCAGCTGAGCAACTCCTGGATTTTTTTTTTCTTCAAGACAGCCTGGTCTCCACCTTCTTCCAAAACTCCTCCTTCTCCTTGTCAAACAGCTTTTGCATCTGCCTACTCCGGGCTGCTGCGGTTGCAGGAACCTGGGGGGCCCTTTTGTGCCAAGCGCTGGCTGGGCAAAATACCTCCAAAGCTTGGAGAATCCAAGGAAGTTTCGTTTGGGGGGCGGGCTGGACTAGAAGACCTCCGGGGGTCCCTCCCAGTTCTATTCTGGATTCTGATTCAGTCCTGAATGTTCTCCGGATGCCCAGCCCTTTTCTCTCCCAGATATGGTCCCTCCTGGGTCCTTGCCAGGAGATAAGCAGTCAACTGCTTTTGTGGGTTTGTTTTTTTTTAAACTCCAGACTTCAGGAAGTGATGGGGGATTTTTGGGGGACCCCTTTGGCCTCTGCAAGCTTGGGGTTGCGCATGGCATGCTTCATCCTAAGCTCCTGACGAGCTTCTCATCGCTTGCTTGCCCAGGGAAGGGTGGTAGAGAATGACTTGGACCTAACACAGAATATTACTTGGTAACGGAATAGATTTTCTGAGCGGTTAGAGGTAGAAATTAGAGGAAGGCCAAGGGAAGAGGAGAAGGAAGAAGAAGAAGGAAGCAGAGAGGGGAAAGAAGAGAGGGAAGTGGAGGGGAGGAGAAGGAGTAGGAGAGAGGGAAGGAGAGGGAAGTGGAGAAGAGGAGAGGGGAGAGAAGGAGAGGAAAGGGGAGGAGAGGGAAGTAGGGAGGCGAGAGGAGAAGGAGAGAGGGAAGGGAGGAGAGGAGAAGGAAGGGAAGGGAAGGAGAAGGAAAGAGATGGACTGTCGTAAAATGGAAAATGTGATGTATTATAAAGGAAAATAAAGTGGAGAAGAGGAGAGGAGAGGAGAGGGAAGGGGAGGAGAGGGAAGTAGGGAGGGGAGAGGAGGAGAAGGAGAAGGAGAGAGGGAAGGAGAGGGAAGTGGAGAAGAAGAGGGGAGAGAAGGAGAGGGAACTAGGGTGGGGAGAGGAGAAGGAGAGAGGGAAGGAGAGGGAAGTGGAGAAGAGGAGAAGGGGAGAGAAGGAGAGGAAGTAGGGAGGCGGAGGAGAAGGAGAGAGGGAAGGAGAGGGAAGTGGAGAAGAGGAGAGGAGAGAGAAGGAGAGGAAGTAGGGAGGCGAGAGGAGAAGGAGAGGGAAGGAGAGGGAAGTGGAGAAGAGGAGAGGGGAGAGAAGGAGAGGGAAGTAGGGAGGGGAGGGGAGAGGAGAAGGAGAGAGGGAAGGAGAGGGAAGGGAGGAGAGGAGAGGAGAAGGAAGGACAGGGAAGGAGAAGGAAAGAGATGGACTGTCGTAAAATGGAAAATGTGATGTATTATAAAGGAAAATGCATAATAAAGACATTTAAAAAAAAATAAATTAAGCATGGATGGGCAGCGGATGGGCCCATTCCCAGTGCCTCCCCCACTTTTTCTGAAGTCCCAGAAAAACTTTTCTTAGCAGACCCAAACCCAAACTCGATGCTGAGCACGAGAGATCGGTCGGTTCCCTTTGGACAGCTGCTTCCCTGGGTGTCATCCGCTCAGCAGATGTTTAGTTTTGGGGTTGTCTTTTGATTTCTTGGATTGTTGTGGTCCCTGGCGAGTGGGGTGTTTGGTCTCAGCCAGGTTCTCTTAGGAGGCATTTAGGAGCTCTGCGTTGACCACACAATTTGGAAGAGAAAGCTTTTAAGGCTCCTCTTATCATTTCCCCTTCCCGGTCTGAAATATTCTCCTTGCCTAAGGATATTTTTCTCTTCCTCCCCTCCTTCCCTCCCTCCCACACTCTCTCTTTCTTGTGGCATTCTTTCTAACCAGCAATAAATTCCAAGGAGGAACAATGGAAAGACATTTAGCAAAAGAATGAAGCCGCAGGGCTTTGGGGCAAAAAAAAAATAATATTTCGAAAGGTTGGCATCTCTGGGTAGCCTCCAGAATGCGTCAACTGGATGGCATCCAGATGGGCTGGGACTACAGTTCCCAAGATCGCTGCAGATGGGGACTGCAGCCAAGAAATGAAAAGAGGCTTGCTCCTGGGGAGGAAAGCTATGGCAAATCTAGACAGCATACTAAAAAGCAGAGACATCACCCTGCCCAACAAAAGAGCGTATAGTCCAGGCGATGGTTTTCCCAGCTGCAATGGATGGCTGTGAAAGTTGGACCACAAGGAAGGCTGAGCACCAAAGAATGGAGACCTTTGAACTCTGGTGCTGGAGAAGACTCCTGCGAGTCCCTTGGACTGCAAGGCCATCCAACTGGTCAGTCCTAGAGGAGATCCACCCTGACTGCTCCTTAGAAGGCCAGATCCTGAAGAGGAAACTCAAATCCTTTGGCCAAATCCTCCTTTGAGAAGGAAGGACTCCCTGGAGAAGAGCCTGATGCTGGGGACGATGGAGGGCAAAAGAAGAAGGGGACGGCAGAGAACGAGGTGGCTGGATGGAGTCACTGAAGCAGTCGGCCATGATCTTAAATGGTCTCCGGGGGATGGTAGAGGACAGGAAGGCCTGGAGAAACTTTGTCCATGGGGTCACGATGGGATGGACACAACTTCGCAACTAACAACAACAATAGATAGATGATAGATTGATAGAGAGATAGATAGATAGATAGATAGATAGATAGATAGATAGATAGATAGATAGATAGATAGATAGATAAATCCAAGGGACTTCTGCGAGTCCCTTGGACTACAAGGCCATCAAACCAGTCAGTCCTAGAGGAGATCAACCCTGACTGCTCTTTAGAAGGCCAGATCCTGAAGAGGAAACTCAAATCCTTTGGCCACCTAATGAGAAGGAAGGACTCCCTGGAGAAGAGCCTCATGCTGGGAACGATGGAGGGCAAAAGAAGGAGGGGACGGCAGAGAACGAGGCGGCTGGATGGAGTCACTCAAGCAGTCGGCGTGGACTTCAATGGACTCCAGAGGATGGTAGAGGACAGGAAGGCCTGGAGAAACGTTATCCATGGGGTCGCGATGGGTCGGACACGACTTCGCAACTAACAACAACAATTCCCAGCGTTCCCATCAGCTGTTAATGCTGGCACATCTGGAAAGCAGCACGGTGAAGGAATCTGGTTCAGAACCACTGTTTTAAAACAAGCTGGATGGAGTTTGAAAGATGGTTTGTTAATCTTAAGGCCTTTAGGTGAAAAACAGATCAGGGTTCTGGCGTTTACTGCGCTACAAAGTTTGGGATTTGAAAATCTTTTTCTGCACCTGGTCCTCGGATGATCACCAAGTCCCGGTGGTCTGCAAGAAATCCATCAGGTGCCTCTTCAAATAATCTGATTATTTTGGACCGACCTGACTCAGCCTCTTTCAGCCCCAGCAAAGAGCTTTTATTTTTCCTGCCAAGTTTTTAAATTTTAAAATATTATCTTTACAATCTTTTCAAATGGAATTGAGTTTAAGCACTTAGCATTTCTTTCTTTCTTTTTCTTCTCTTCTCTTCTTCCTCCTCCTCCTTCTGCTTCTTCTTCTGCTGCTGCTGCTTCTGCTCCTTCTTCTCCTCCTCCTCCTCTTCCTTCCTTCTTCCTCTTCTTCTCCTCTTCCTTCTCTTCCTCCTCCTCCTCCTTCCTTCCTTCTTCCTCTTCTTCCTCTTTTCTTCTCCTCCTTCTCTTCCTTCCTTCCTCTTCTTTCCTTCCTTCTTCCTCTTTTCTTCTCCTCCTTCTCTTCTTCCTTCCTCTTCTCCTCCTCCTCTCGTCTTCTTCCTCCTCCTTCCTTCCTTCTTCCTCTTCTCCTCCTCCTCCTTCCTCCTCCTCTCCTCCTCTCCTTCCTTCCTCCTCTTCTCCTCCTCCTCTTCCCCCAATCCAAATCCCCATGTCAACGTTTTTTCTTTCCATATTTTTCCTACTGCTTATCATGTCCCTTTAAAAGAGTGTGAGGTTTTTTTTTTAAGAGAATTCTTGCTTTATTTATGGAAAGGGCGAAACCACTAACCTTTATTGAACTATTTTATTCTCTGGTGGGAGGCTCCTTAAATGTGGTGGTGGGGTTTTTTTTTGGGCCAGCTTGAAGAAATAGATAAGGTTGCTTTTTGGGCCACTTTAAGAGCAAGGGCAAGCAAACACTTTATTAAACATTTATTAAAGCAGTTTGTAGGAAAAGGGCTCTTGGGACCATTTGTTTATCTGTTCGCAAGGAAGTGAGTGTTTAGTTAACTCAGCCCAAGGCTGTTCTCTGCTGAACTATCAGGAATTCAGACTATTTCTGATTGCATCTGGGGCTGTAGTAAAAGTTTACACATCTTACTAGCCTTTCCCTTCCCTTCCCTTCCTCCTTTCCTTTCCTTCCCTTCCTTTCTTTTTTCTTTTCCTCCCCCTTTCTCCTTTCTTTTCCTTCCCTTCCCTTTCTCCTTTCTTTTCCTTCCCTTTCTTTTTTCTCCTTTCCCTTCCTCTCTTTTCTTTTCCTTTCCTTTTTCTTTCGTTCACCTCCCTTTCTCCTTTCCTTTCTCTTTTCTCCTTTCCCTTCCTCTTTCTTTTCCTTCCCTTTCTCCTTTCTTTTCCTTCCCTTCCCTTTCTTTCTTTTCCTTCCCTTTTTTTCTCCTTTCCCTTCCTTTCTCTTTTCTTTTCCTTTCCTTTTTCCTTTTCCATTCTACATTCTATTTTATTCCTATTCTATTTCATTCTATTCATTCTATTTTCATTCCATTCTGCATTCTGCATTCTGCATTCCATTCCATTCTATATTCTATTTTATTCCTATTCTATTTCATTCCATTCTGCATTCTATTCTATTCTATTCTATTTTACATTCTATTTTATTCCTATTCTATTTCATTCTATTCATTCTATTTCATTCCATTCTGCATTGCATTCCATTCATTCTATATTCTATTTTATTCCTATTCTATTTCATTCCATTCTGCATTCTATTCTTCTATTCTACATTCTATTTATTCCTATTCTATTTCATTCCATTCTGCATTCTATTCTATTCTAATTCTATTCTATTCCATTCCATTTTCTATTCCATTCTACATTCTATTTTATTCCTATTCTATTCTATTCCATCCCATTCCATTTTCTATTCCATTTTATTCTATATTCTATTTTATCCGATTCTATTTCATTCTATTCTATTCTATTCTATTCTATTCTATTCTATTCTAAATGGAACTCGGGAACTTTAATAGAAGGAACTTGGAAAATTTAGGCTGTCTTCTAAAAAAAAACCAACAACTGTAAATTTATCTAACTCCGCTTGTGCCAACGCTTGGCCGCTTTGAGACGGAGGGTGCCCGGAGAATCTCTACCGTTTTCTTTCTTGCATTCTCCGACGCCTGTTTGCAGAAAGATAACGTGCCTCGGATGCCAGTCCTTCGAAAGGGGAAATCCTGAGGCCGTGAACTATGCGGGCTATGCCTCAGCCGTGTTCCCAGACGGTTTAATCTCACGGCTGATCCTGTTTTGCATGCTGTCCTGGTTTACAGCAGTCTTAAAAGTATTAAGAAGGGTATTAGAGCTCCGGTATTAGAGCTTTGAGTGTCGGTTTTTACTTGCGTGGTTCGCGTTTGTGGGTAGATGGAAGAGTTCTGGATTTTGAACTTGAAACTATGGTACTAGAAATGCAGAATACTTCTATGGGCGCTCTCTAGCATGACGGTAACAGAGTCGGGAGGGGACCTTGGAGGTCATCTAGCCCAACCCCCTTCTCACGCAGACCTGTACTAGGGATTTGAACCGCCGAACTGCCAATCTTTCTGATCGACAAGCTCAGTGTCTTAGCCACTTGCGCCACCTAGTCAGGCAGTGGGTAGTAGTGGGCCCCCTCATCCACCGTTGATGTTGAGGGGGTGTGTGTCCCCTTTTGAGGAAGGCCTGGGTGAAAAAACCCACTGTGCAGTGGGACAGCTTGCATCAGAATTAAAATAAGAGCTTGGAGGTCATCTAGTCCAGCCCCCTGATCAAGCAAGAGACACTATATACTATTTCAGACAAGTGACTGTCCAGTCTCGTCCACCCCAGTCCTCCTTTTCTCTAGATTAGCCAAACCCAGTTCCTGCAACCGTTCTTCATATGCTTTAGTCTCCGGGTTTTTAATCATCTTAAATTGCTCTTCTTTGCACTTTTTCCAAAGTCTCAACATTTTTTTTTTGTTATTTAATGGAAAGAAGGACTAGGGGAGACAAGACAGCAGTGTTCAAGTATCTCAGGGGCTGCCCCAAAGAAGAGGGAGTCAAGCTGTTCTCCAAAGCACCTGAAGGCAAGACAAGAAGCAACGGGTGGAAACTCATCAAGGAGAGAGAAGCAACTTAGAACTAAGGAGGAATTTCCTGACAGTTGGAACAATTAACCGGTGGAACAACTTGCCTCCAGAAGTTGTGAATGCTCCAATACTGGAAGTTTTTAAGAAGAGATTGTACAAGCATTTGTCTGAAGTGGTGGAGGGTTTCCTGCCTAAGCAGGGGGTTGGACTAGAAGACCTCCAAGGTCCCTTCCAATTCCTATTCTATTCTTTTCCATTCCATTTTCTATTCTATTCCATTCCGTTCTTTCTTATTCTATTTCATTCTTATTCTATTTCATTCTTATTCTATTATATTCTAATTATTCTATTCTATTCTATTCCATTTTCTATTCTATTCCATTCTTATTCTATTCCATTCTCTTATTCTATTCTGTTCTAATTATTCTATTCTATTTTCTATTCCATTCCATTCTTTCTTATTCTATTCCATTCTTTATTCTATTCTATTCCGTTCCAGTCTTTCTTATTCCATTCTATTCCATTCCATTCCAATTCTATTTTTATAATGTTGTGACCAAACCTGGATGCAGTATTCCATGTGTGGGCCTTACCAAGGTCTCCAGAAGTTGTGAAGTTTGCTTCATCACTCTTTTGAAGAAGAGTCTGAAATGGTATAGGGTCTCCTGCTTGAGCAGAGGGAGGGGGCTGGACTAGAAGACCTCCAAGGTCCCTTCCAGCTCTACTCTGATTGATTGCTCGGGGTTCTCACCCCAGCCATGGCTTCAGGGCTGCTCATGTGCAGCTTGCGCTAATCCGAGAGAGAGGAAGGCCCCGTCTTGGCTTTGTAGGACCTGAAAAACTGCTCTTGCTCCCTTCTTTCCGTGAACGGCCAGAGGGGAGACCCACCTAACCATCAGGTTCCTTAATGTGGCTTCAGAAAATGGAGGCTCTTTGCAGACTACAATTCAAAGGGAGAAGGCCGGGTGCAACGAGAGGGGACTCCCCCACATTCCTCCCTACAACTTCCTCGTGAATTAAAAGGATGCTATGTTAAAAGCAAGATTTACGGCCCTGAAAATTCTCAACGGGCAAAAATGAAAGGCTTAAAATTTACACATTATACAGGAGTGGCCAAAATTGTGGAAACCTTTTTGGGAAAAGTGTATGTTTGAGGTTGGATGGTTAATAACACCCCTTTCCCGTCCCCCCCCCCCCAAGATAATCCTATTCCACTGCTGGAATGGCCTGGGAAGAGCCCAGACCTTCACCCAATTGAAAATCGATGGATTTTCCGACTAAAGAAACTGGTTAGTCAGAAGCGACCCAGCAATAAAACCCAGTTAATAGAAGCAATCATTTAATCTTGGTTTCACATTAGAACAGTTACAGAACTCAAAGACTTGGTTCACTCCATGGGAAGACATTGTAAGGCCGTAATTCATGCTAAAGGTTACCCAACTAAGGATTAATTGACATGGTGATGATTTTTGTATATCTCATTTTTTCTAGGGTGATAATTTTTGAATATCTCGTTTTTTCTACATGTTTCACTTTTCTTCTTTATCCTGTAACTGCTATTCTAATAGTAAATCCTTCGTAAAAGTGATTGCATTACATTCTTGATTAAATTATCTTTCCATTGATATATAATTTTATGGTACTACTAAAAAAAAAAGTGGTGTTATTAGCTAGTTTTAGAAAATACAACTTTTCCCAAAAAGTTTCCACAATTTTGACCGCTACTGTAATTTAAAAGAAAAATTCTATAAGATGATGTTATCACTGGTATTTAACCCCCAGATAAGCTGCCAAAAATGTATAAAGGGGTTTTTTTTTCTCTCAAATGAATATTGGAAATGGAAAGGGGCTAAATCAATCGATCAATAAAAAATAAATAAAATCAATGCTAAATATTTCTTTGCTGACCAAGCAAAGAAATATTGGGAGTAGGATTCACATCCTAATACAGAAGATACAGATAAAAACCAGAAGCTTTTCTTTTTGAATTTAATGGAAAAAGACTTAGGAAAAAAAATATGGAACTTTAATGTTATATATGTTGATGGCAGCAAGACTAAATCGGAGGAAGGGCAGAGGAAGGATTTCCCCATCTCTGTTTTCCCTCTGCACATCATCATCTATTAATTAATTAATTTATTGTTTATATACCACCCTTCTCCTGAAGGACTCGGGGCGGTGAACAGCCAAGAGATAAAACACAAGAAACATAAAATTTAAAAACAGTATTAAAATCCGATTAAATTAATTTGGCCCACAATTAAAAACACCCCTGTATTAAAACCCATAATTAACCAGTTTAAAAATTAAAACAATTTAAAAGAGTTAGGCCAGAGTCATCCTCAATCAGGTTTTGTCTGAAAGCGGATTGGAAGGAAATGACTTTTGAACCCTGGATCAATGGATGAATCATGGAATGGGATGATAAACGGAGCCTGCAAATGATTTAGATTTTGTGAATTGGATTAAGTGCGGCTTCACAAATTCACAAACAATGCAATTCACTACCAAGTGTTGTTTCTAAAGGACAATTCAAGGGCCTCCAGCGTAGGATAGAAGTCATTTGTGCAAAGAGGTTTGGGTTTTTTTTGGTTAAAAATAATAATAATAATAAAAGCACGCCCACAAATAAAAATTAAAAACTAAGATATTTCAAGAGAGAGAGAAAAAAAAAAGCTTTATCATAGTATCTTTTCACATTTTAAAAAAAAAGTCACACGTCAATTCGAATCTTTTAAAACTTTTCAAGGCAATGTTATGGTCTCACACATAAATATGAAAAATCAAAAATATGTTGGTTGATTCCTTGCACCCCCCACCCATCCAAACAACAAAGAAAAAAAATGTGATAAAAGCACAGAACTGGCACGGTGGAAAACACTGTGTTTTACATTCTGCAAACCCGAATGGTTTCTCTAATTCAGTCGAGGGGAAAAAAATTAGACGGGTCCAGAATGGAAATCTCCTGGTTAATAAGAGTAAAAGTTAAGATATTATCCTGAACATTTGCAATTTCGTCCATTTTGGAGAAAAACTGATTAGAGTGATATTTGAACAAACAATTCTTGCTTTACATGAAAGAAAATATATGTGGCTTTGTAAATGCAGACCCTAGTAACTCTTACAAAATAAACCTAAGGGGGAAGATTAAGAACTGGGCCATTAAATCAGGATATTTAACATACATCTCCCTTGAAACTGCAGTTCCAAATGTGTCATTACAGTATCACTCGTTGAAGTAAAAGCTGGGGGCGGGGGGGAAGTAAGTGTGTTCTTTCTCACACAACACACAGGCAGCCCGAGGAAGAAAATCGCACACAATTTGCTTCCCCAAATTGGTTTCGGCATCCTACCACATGATCTACGAAACTTTTGAGGGATGAGTGAATAAAAGCGATTTCCCAAAACACCGATACAAAACTTTTCGGAAAAAGATTAAAAAGTTGATTAAAAACCACGCAGGTACCGCAAACGACCGGGGCTGGGGTAAGGCACTTGGGGGGGGGGGGGGGGGGGTCTTGGCAGGAGGTGGCTTGGGTCCCCCTGGGCAAGACGCCTCTCTCGTTTCCAACGGTCGGAGCTGGATTGCGAGAGAGGCAGATTCCAGAATCAGATTATGGCTTTGTAAGTTGGTTAGGTGCCCCCTCCCTCCCTCCCTCCCAGCCAGCCTGGTGCAAGGAACAATAGGGGGTGGGGGGAGCGAGGGAAGGAGAGAGCACCGGGGTGGCTAAAGAGGAGACCGGGGACGAATGGGAGAACTGGACAAAATGCTGTCTCCGAAGACGTTGGCGTAGGAAGACTTCAGGAACTGGACGTAGTTTTGCATGCTGCGATTCGTGCTCTCCGACTGCTCGAGGCGATCCTTTAGGTCCTGGAGGCGGCTTTGGTACCGGCGCTCTCCCTGTGCGAGGAAAAAAAGAAAATGGTCGCCTGAGCCCCTGGGTCCTTTCCTTCATTCAAAAATGGGAGAGCCCAAAGCCATTCCTCTTGCTTTTCCGACGAAAGAGTTCAGCGAGACATCCTTTGGATGGACGCACGAGGACAGGGATGGCGAAGCTTTTTTGGCACCGGGTGCCCAAACTGGAACCAGCTAGCTGGCAAAGACCAGCTGGCCGGCACGCGCATGTCTATTTTTTGGGCGTTTTCAGGGCCATTTTTGGCCCCAAAGCGGCTGAAAAATAGTCTGAAAACAGCTCAAAAAATGGCCTGTTCTTGGGCCGGTTTTCAGGTCATTTTCAGGCCGGTTTTTGGGTTGTTTATTGGGCCATTTTCAGCCGGAAAAAATGAAAAACAGCCTGAACCTGAAAAATGGCCTGAAAACAGCCTGGAAAATGGCTTGTTTTTTGGCTGTTTTCAGGTCATTTTCAGGTTGTTTTTTGGGCTGTTTTCAGGCCAAAAAACAAACAGCAGCCTGAACCCAAAAAACTGCCCGAAAACGGCTGAAAAACAGCCTGAAAAACTGCCAGTTTTTTGGCCGGTTTTTCAGGTCATTTTCAGGCCAGTTTTTGGGTCATTTATTGGGCCATTTTCAGGCCAGTTTTTGGGTCATTTATCGGGTCAGTTTCAGGCCAAAAAAAAAACAAAAAACACTTGAACCTGAAAAATGGCCTGAAAACGCCCCGAAAACTGCCTGGTTTTTGACCAGTTTTCAGGCCATTTAAAGGCCATTTTCCAGGTCGTTTTCGGGCAAAAAAAAAACAAAAAATAAAAAGCAGCCTGAACCCAAAAAACTGCCTGAAAACAGCTGAAAAACAGCCTGAAAATGGCAACAAAAGAACTGCCTGTTTGTTGGGCGGTTTTCAGGTCATTTTTGGGCCGGTTTTGGGGCTGTTTATCGGGCTGTTTTCAGGCCGTTTTCAGGCCAAAAAAAACGAAAAACAGCTTGAACCTGAAAAACGCCCTGAAAATGCCCCGAAAACTGCCTGTTTTTTGGATGGTTTCCAGGTGGTTTTCAGGCCATTTACAGGCCATTTTCGGGCCAAAAAACAAAAAATGTCCTGAACCCAAAAAACGTCCTGAAAACAGCTTATTTTTTTAGCCATTTTTGGGGCCGTTTTCCGGTGATACTGCACCCGCGAAAACCAGCTGGCCAGTACATATGCACGCTGGAAACCAGGAGAGCAGCTGGTGATGGCGCACATGCTCAGAGGGAGGGCTGCGTGTGCCACCTCCGGCATATGTACCATACTTTGACAGCCCTCTGCTCCATGATGAACTGAGCTACAACTCCCACAGCCGCTTTGGCTTTGGTCAACGATAAGCCAAGTGGAGACCATCTTCATCATCTTCTTTTAAAGACCCCGTAATCTCTTGTGGGGTGGTGTTCTGGACAACTTAATGGAGCTAGCCCAGCGTTTATTGGCCGGATGTCCTTCCTGTTGCCAATGAGGAGTTTTGTTCAGCAGATATATTCTCATTGTGCCCAGAGAGAAAAATATCTGCCTCTACCCAGGATCGAACTCACAGCCTCCCGACTGTGAGGCGAGAGCTCCACCTCTAGGCCACCGCACCACTCAAGGGGAGAGCATCTTGGAGACCTCAAACTGCTTCCTCCCTGCTCCAAGATGAAGAATCAGCACTTGTGCATGGTCAACCGGAGGCCACCTCTTGACTTATATGTGTCTTCCCCACATAACAACGGCCAAGCTAGGCTTCCTAAGATGGAGGAGGTCTATTGTTGTAGGCGCCTTACATCATCTTTACTGCGTCGTAGCTGGTTCAGTTCGGTCTTTGTCTTGCTCAGCTGGGTTTCCAGATCCAGCATCTTTGACTGGGCTGTCCTCTCTTTCGCTGCCGCACGATCCCTTGTTTGCTCCAACTGAAGGCAGAAAGAGAGCAATTAGGGTAAGCAAGGGCCAATCCACCTCCCATCTCAGGAGGAAAGAGGGCTGCCTGGTCCCTTTTTCATCTTCAAAGGAGGGATCCTTGCTTAGTTGTGATCTCTCAAAAGGCCAACGTTACCGTCGGAAGAATCCAAGCTAAGGAACGCTCCAGTTTTTTTCTGGAAGGAAGATGTGATGGAGTTTATCACCACAATCTTCTCCTTGTTAAAGTCTTCTACGCTCTTCAAGTGACTTGGGAGAAGACCCAGCTACTCCACCCAACGCCCAAGGAGGAACCAACCTGCTTCTTGGCGTCATCAAAGGCCATCTCCAGCTGGCGTGCCAAGGAGCCACACTCCCTGGTCTTCTCCTCTAGCCGAAGCTGGGCCTGGTGGATGGACTCTTCCCTTTTCGCGATGATCTGGAGAAATTCTATGTTCTGCCCACTTGTGCCTTCAAGTTTCCTAAAGTGCAACCAACCACATGTGATTTACGAAAGGCAGCTGTGGCCTTTCAAAATAAAGAGCTCCAACATGATTATCAGTAGACGATCAATACGTTTTCTTTTAAGGGACTAAGCCAGGGGGTCTCCAAACCTGGTAACTTTAAAAGACTTGTGGACTTCTACTCCCAGAATTCCTCAGCCAAGCATGGAGGCTGAGGAATTCTGGGAGTTGTAGTCCAGAAGTCTTCAAAGTTGCCAAGTTTGGAGAGCCCTGAATGAAACCATAGAGATGGTTTAATGATGGATTATTAGGGCATTTGATTTTTGATCCCAATAATTACTGTATTTTTCAGAGTATAAGACAACGCACCCTAGTTTTTGGGGAGGAAAATAAGAAGAAAAAAAAAATTCTGCCTCTGCCTACCAGCATCCATCGGTATTCATCTGGCTAGCTAGTGTGTGTTTGAGAGTTAAGGGCTGTTTGGAAACTAAAACAGTATTTGCTGTGTGAGCAACAAGGAGACAGCAAGGAGCCTGGGCGTGGTTTAGCTCAACTGTTCTGTACTAAAGCTGCATGCTGTGCTGAGCTCTGAAAGTGAAACTCCTCTCCTCTGCTTGTGTTTTGCTTGTGTTTACTACCATGTTGGAAAACCCGCTTTTGGTATTGTTTATTTACTTCATGTGTTTTTTTATATATATAAAGAGAAGCTACTGAATCCTGCTGAATCAGTTACTTGGGTGTGCTTTCCGGATGGGATTGCTGCTGCAAACTCGTCCTTGCAGCAAACAGCAAACAGCCAAGGTCAGCTTCAGCACAATATTGCAGCCTGATTCAGCACAAGCAACTGATTGGCGGATGGATCGGCCTCCCGGAATACCCCCAATCAGCTGTTCCGGGCTGCAGGGATTGCCACAGACTATCGCTGCCTCCGTGCCTTGTGGTTTGGGCTACATTCGGTGTATAAGACACCCAAATTTTCACCCTCTTTTAGGGGCGTCTTATACTCTGAAAAATACGGTAAACCAACTGAAGACACCAAGTGCTGTTAGAGGAGCACGCTTGTCAAGAACATAGAATTTTCTAAGAAATGCCAGTTAAACCAACGTTGTGATGTCTTCCTCCACCCTCGAGCATCACCCCAACCCTTCCTAACCTCTCCAACTCCTCCAACTTGAGAGTCAGCTGCTTATTCTCTTCCTGGGCTGACTGATACTTTTCTCTTGTCAATTCCATCTTGTCTCCCTGCAGCTCAATCTAAAAAGAAAGGATTTAAAAGAAAATGGAGGGGGGGAAAAAAAAGAAGACAACACAGAGAATTTAGAGGGTACGGATGCTGCTCTTTTCTCTCTATTGAAGCCAACTTGCTTTTGGAAACAGAAAGCGGTCAAGGCAATAAAACCATCTTGAGTGCAAAGACGTAAGAAAAGATAATAGCAGCTTTTATAGAAACATAGCCAATGGGAGTTGAGTGTCGGGATCTGTTTCAGGGAAGGCAAGTTTCTGGCACGCATGGAACAGGAAGAAGCAGCAGTTTTTAATCACGATAATGTTTATCCCACTTTTAAACAACCACAGATAGCTTCTTTGAATAGTGATGGCTATCTGAAGGAGGATTACAAAACAGGAATATATAAAAACTCCTTTTTACGACCTTGTAATCCCTTTAATTCTGGGTAAAGTCGGGGCGACTGGATGGAGCTGAGCGTTTACTGGCTGGATGCCCTTCCTGACACCACGGGGAGTTCACAGCAGATTTATTTTTTTTCTTTGCGCCCTAGGAGAGAGAAAGATCTGCCGCTACCTAGGATTGAACTCTCAAACCTTCCGAGTGGGAGGCGAGCATCTTCACCGCGCGCATAAAACCCCCCTCCACCCTTTCGGTGGCCTTTTCAGACGCTAGTTTCATCTGGCGCGATAAAGCTTCTCCTGGGCCCCCGCGGGGATCTGTCAGCTACCTGCAAAGCAAAGCGAAGCACACGGATGGAGGCATTCGGCCCAGGAAGACAAACAAGAGAGGGATAAAACGGCCCGAAGAGCCAATTCTACACAGCTTAAAAGGAGACAGCACAACACAAATGAGAGACAGGCATGCAATGGGTCTGTTTATTCTGCCGTGCAGCTGTTTTAATCATTTCAAAAAGAGACAAGAGACAAAGATTGCACCTTCCTGATGCTTAGAAGCTCATTTTGGTCCCCGGCTGGAGGTTCGCGTGGGCGCCTTCTGCCAATCCCTTACCCGCTGACGGAGGTCTGAAATCATGGCAGACAGATCCATATTTTTCTTCTCATAACTCTTAAGCTGCTCCTGACACTCAGCCAACTTGGTCTCGGTCATCTTCAAGATCTCAGGAAGTTTCTCCAGCTCGGCCACTTGGCTCTGGAACTGCTTGCGAGCCTGTGGGCAGAAGGGAGAACGGCGGGAGTGAAGAGTTGGTGCCTTCAGGAGACCATCAAGCTTCTCAGCCCTCTGGATGTTGGGGGACCCCCACTTCTAACCCCAATGGGTATTATACTCCACTATCTTCTGGAGGGCCGTTTCTCATCTAGCACATTAACTACATTAACATACAGTAGTGGCCAAAATTGTGGAAACCTTTTGGGAAAAGTGTATTTTTGACGTTTGATGGCTAATAACACCACTTTTTGGGGGGAGTTTCAAGATTTATCCCATTCCACTGCTGGAATGGCCTGGGAAGAGCCCAGACCTTCACCCAACTGAAAATCGATGGAGCCGACTAAAAAACTTGTTAGTCAGAAGCGACCCAGCAATAAAACCCAGTTAATAGAAGCCATCATTCAATCCTGGTTTCACATGATAACAGCTGCAGAACTCAAAGACTTGGTTCACTCCATGGGAAGACATTGTAAGGCCATCATTCATGTTAAAGATTACCCAACTAAGGATTAATTGACATGGTGATCATTTTTGTGTGTCTCATTTTTTTCTATGGGGATAATTTTTGCATATAGAATAGAACAGAATAGAATTTTTTATTGGCCAAATGTGATTGGACACACAAGGAATTTGTCTTGGTGCATACGCTCTCAGTGTACATAAAAGATACGTTCATCAAGAATCGTAAGGTACAACACTTAATCTCGTTTTTTCTACGTGTTTCGCTTTTCTTCTTTATACTGTAACTGCTATTCTAATAGCAAACCCTTCCTAAAAGCCATGGCATTACATTCTTGATTCAATTATCTTTCCATGGATATATAATTTTATGGTACTGTTCCCCCCCAAAAAAGTGGTGTTATTAGCTAAGTTTTAGAAAATACAACTTTTCCCAAAAGGTTTCTACAATTTTGGCCATTATTGTAACGTGCTAACTGTCCATGGCTGTGTTTAGTCTAGGATGATGGGAAGGCAGCCGAAATGAATTTGAGAAGCCACCCGTTCCGAGACGGGATGGATGAATTTTCTGCACGATCCCCACCGCACCCCGAGCTAACATCCAAATTGTTATTTGTAATTTTTTTTTTTAAAAAAAAGCAGCGATTAGAAGTGAAACTCAGGCAGAATTTTTTCCCTTCGAAAGGGAATGTGGGCTCCCGTTAAGCCCTTTACAAAAAAAAAAGGAGGAACTGAAGAGGCCTTGGAGAGCTTCAAGAAAAGGAACTTGGCACTTGCATTTTCAATCTCTTTGGCCATTTCTTCCTTCAGGGCTTTGTTCTCTTTGTCGCAGAGTTCCAATTTCACTGTCACCTCATCGGCTTCCATTCGGGTTTTCACCACCTGGGATAAAAGAAATAAAAGTTAAAAACACAGCGGGGAAAAATAGACAATAAGCCTATAATCTGGAAACCTCCAGGATAAATTTAGTCACTTGTTTACCTCAGCATCAACTGGGGTTTAGATAAGTCAGCCTGGAGCCCTCAAGATGTAGCTAACCATAAATCCCATAAATTCACGGCATGGAGGGGCAGACAGGATGATGGGCATGGCAATCCAGCATTTCCAGAAGCAGAATAATGGCTTAAACCCTTTTCTTAAACCTAACTCTAACCTTTAAGTATCTTTTGTGGCAATGGACGAACTAAACCAGGGGTCAGCAACCTGCGGCTCTGGAGCCAAATGTGGCTCCTTCGTCTTTTCTTTCTTTTCTTTTCTTTCTTTTATTTGATTTGTATACCGCCCTACTCCCGAAGGACTCAGGGCGGTGAACAGCCAAACAATATAATACATAAGTACAAAAAATTTAAAAACCAGATAAAATCGAATTAAACCATTTTGGCCCAGACAAATTAAAACACCCCAATAATTTAAAAACAGATTAAAATTTATATATTAAAAAATATGTATTTACATATTTACATATGTACATTTACATTTTAATTTACATATTAAAAATATGTCTCTCTGCTGCGGCTTCCTGTCGCTCAAAATGCGCGTCACAACTGCCAATGTGCAACACCACACAATTTATTGAGCTTTTCGACCCCCCGGTAGGTCAACCATGGATAAATAAGGTTTTTTTTATACATAGCATAAAGGTAAAAAAAAAACAAAAAACGATATATGCAGTGTTATCTTCATTTTAGATGTCAAAAGGGTTTTGTGGCTCCCGGTGTTTTCTTTTCTGTGGGAAACGGGTCCAAATGGCTCTTGGAGTGTTTAAGGTTGCCGACCCCCTGACCTAGATTTAACTCAGGATTTAAATCATAACATTTCTCCAAGCCTTTGTGGAGCCCCTGTGATGACATCGCAGCCTCCTCAAGGGGTTCGTGGACCACAGATTTGAGAACCCGCTGGCTTAGGTTATGCCATTCCCTCCACCTTCTAGATCCAAATCGTGGAAATTCTTGGGAGATGCCAGGATGAAATGAATAATCTTTGAGTCTTTCTCTATATTTTGGACTATGGGGTTCCTACACTTCAGCTCCTCCTGCTGCTGGGAATTCTTTTCTATTTGAGGTTTGGGGGACTGGCCCTGGCAGAAACCATCTTAAAAAAAAAATCTAGAGCTGCTATTTCTTGGACCCAGGAAATACGGAAGATGGGCCAGTTCTGTTTAATCACCCAAGCAGGTTCTTGTTGGATATGGACTCTCAACAAATTTCCAGAGTGTAAGAGCATCATGTGCATGGGTGATATTCCCTTACTTTCCCTTCATTGGCATCCTTCAGTCTCAAGAGACTATGATATCGTGCTCTGGAAAGAGGTCCTAAAACAACATCTAGTGTGACTAAAAAGGCCGATTCGAGAGTGGCAATCCCTTCCACACTGAGGGCACATACATTCTGTCCCCTGCCCAGCCCCCAGATTTCGCTGGTTCCGGGACTGCCTCTTTGCCTCGGCCTGCCGAACAAGTGTCTCTTCGAATTGAAGGCGGCCATGCTGCGTCTTTATCCTCCAAGTTGAACGATCGGAGGTCGTTCATTCCCAGGGCCTTAGGTCCCTCTTGCAGATATCCTTATATCGCAGCTGTGGTCTCCCTCTGAGGCGCTTTCCCTGCACTAATTCTCCATACAGGAGATCTTTCGGAATCCGGCCATCAGCCATTCTCACGACATGCCCCAGCCAGCGTAGACGTCGCTCTTTCAATAGTGTATACATGCTAGAAATTCCAGCACGTTCCAAGACTGCGCTATTTGGAACTTTGTCCTGCCAGGTGATGCCAAGAATTCGTCCGAGACAGCGCATTACTTTCCCTATCGGTTCGCAAATAATAAATAAATAAATAAATAAATAAATAAATAAATAAATAAATAAATAAATGTGCACACGCATGTCCACGCATGCGCCCGGCCATCCGTGCATGTGTTTTGCTGCTGTGGCCCCTTCCATGCATGCGCCCGGCCTCAAAAACGTGCCTAAATAGGATGGCATAAATTTCCGCTACCGGTTCGTGCGAACCGGTCTGAACCAGGCGAATACCACCTTTGATCACGTGGAATGCAAGAAAACCCGAATAGCAAATGGAGCTCAGGCCCAGATCGACAATACGACTTCTGGAGGAGGAAACAAAGAGGTCAAGTCCTCTCACCTGATTCTTGTAGGTTTCAATCAGGCCTTCGTAGTTCTTGAGGGAAGCCTTCAACTTCGACACTTCCTGCTGAGCCTGGTTCAGTCGCTCCTCCACTGGAATCATGCTAGTCTGCAGGGAGGGCCACAAAATAAACTCGGTTTATTCAGGATGGAGGATTCCCTAACTAGGTTCACTCGGGATAAGGGGATTCTCTTGCTATCAAGGGCCCCCACAAGTTTCAGCGGCTCAGTAAACCAGGATCTGCTTTAGACAAAGTCAGTGTCGATCCTGAAAAAGGACGCACAGAAACCTTGTCTTTCTGCCAGCTCCCCTGGAAACAATTCCAAGTTGCAAACCAGGGTTAGGTATAGATGTGGAGATATGTGGAGATTCCCTGATTTTGGTATAAACTGCGAATAGCATCTCGGCCAGTTCCAGTTGAAATTAAAAGAAGTAGACTAGGGACAGATCATCTGGGAGAAAAATCTGTGTCCGGTCAGTAAGAGTTGATGCTTTTGTGATGACACAACCAATCGAAGTCCAATTCTGCTCTTGCATTCATTCTTTTTTTTTTCTTTAACAATTTATATTTTCATTACATATATACATACGTGTTTAATGATCAGTGTATTGTCTGGACCAGTTTGTTTTTATACAATAATACTCTTCCCACTCCTAATTTCTACCTCTACTATCCAACCATTTATAAAACAAATCTCATGTTTGGAAATACTCTGTGTCTTTTCTTTTCTTCTTAATGTTAAACTATCCATTTCTGCACAATCTAATTTTTTTTAAATTACATCGTCTTTCTGTGAGCGTTTTCTCATTTTTCCAATATTGCGCATACACAATTCTTGCTGCGGTCAAAGCATGTAATTATTAAATATAGGTTCCCTTTATCACACTTTTCATGTATTATGCCTAACAAAAATATTTCTGGCTTATAATCTACCGTGCTTTCCTGAAAATAAGACTGGGTGTTATATTAATTTTTCCTCCAAAAGATGCATTAGGGCTCATTTTCTGGTTAGGTCTTATTTTGGGGAAAATACGGTACTAAATGCATCCATCTGGTTGACGATCTTAACTGAGGTTTATTTTTGGGGTAGGGCTTATATTACGAGCATCCTGAAAAACCATGCTAGGACTTATTTTCTGGTTGGGTCTTATTTTCGGGGAAAGAGGGTATGTGTTGTTTTAACGTTTTCTCCAACCCCGTATGTATTTTTGTCTTATATTTCTTTGCTTTTTCACATGTCCACCACTTGTGATAATACATCTCCAGTGTCTGGTTATATTTCCAACATTTGGCGGACCTATTTTTAAACATCTTTGCTAACCTTGCCGGTGGTAAATGCCACCTACAGAACTACTTTATATAAATTTTCCTTATATGCAGTTGCCATCGTCAACTTACAATTTCCTTCCCAAAAGTTTTTGCCATTCGTCTAATTCTTGCATTCGTTCTCCTCTACTTACCTTCAGCCTCTCGTTCTCCAGTTTGACAGCGGTGCTTTCGGTGACCTGTTTGTGCAGCTTATCTACCAAGGTATCTCGGTCTTCTCGCATTTTCTCTTCCATGGTGTTCTGCTGTTCCAAGAGTTCGGAAATACGGCTGCCGCGCAACAAGGAGAATCAACCGTTACCATCCGGGAAGCAAACGGTGGCCTCACAGCGCAACGCAGAATTTTGCAAGGCGTGGAAGGCTGCAAGCTTCACACCGTGTGGAGTGACAGGGGGAATGTACCCATCTTGCTTTCTTGCTACCTCTTAGCGCTTGTAAGATTTACAAGCTGCTTTTCTCGCTAAAGACAACAACTCCCAAATGTCAGCACTGCAACGCTGGCATAGAGAGGGCAGAGGAGAGCGAAAGATAAACTCTGAAACTTTTGCCTGCTAAATCCCTTTGAAGCCCGGTTGTCGTGGAAATGAGGGGAGGGGGCACATTCCTGGGAAATGACGAGGAAAAGAAGTCTGAAGAATGACTTGGAAGACAGCCAATGAGAAGCAGAGATTTGGGGATCGGAAAGGGAGGGATTGGGAGGCAAAAGGTCAGTCTTGTCCGCGCGGAGTCATGATCCGGTGGCTGAGCTCAATTAAAGAAAGATTTCCTTAAAGATTGGCAGTTTGGAAATTCATTTAATTTTGAGATAGCATCGCAGTCTGACACCGAGAGTGGATTATAATTCAATTATAATTATAATTGAATTATAATACAATTATAATTCAAAGACAATCCCAGCATACTCAATCTGGGCCTCATCGAAACAACAAAGAAGAAGGGAGCTGCAGAAAAGGCGCTAACTCAAAGCATAATATTTTAGTTGTTAAGTCAGTAACTGCTTTAGTAATGAATTCAACTGCAACTAAATCTAATGAATTGGCATCCATCCAAAGGGGGACCCTCCCCCCAAATCAGGTGTCCTACTCAAGGGAGGCCGTTCCAACAGGTTGGGGCTGCTGCTGAGGAGGCCCCGTCCTTCACAACCACAAACCTCATAGCCAGAGAGTCCAATTTCATTGGCTGAAATTAACACACTCCGGCGATCAGGCTGAGGTGTCGCCGGCTGGGTTTGTGGTTACCCCAAGAATAACCGCCGCCGCCCCCCTCGCGGCTCTCACCTGTTCAGCATCACAATCTCCACCTCGAGGTCACTTTTGTCTTTCACAACTTGGTTGTAACGATTCCGCCAGGATTCTAGGGTGGACAGTGCTTCGGCCACATAGGCGTCCTAACCAAGTAAGGTGGGAGACATAGGGAAAGACAAGGCTGAGCTTGAGAGCCAGTTGTGGCTACGTTAAGCCACTCTTAATCTAGGACAGGGAAATGATACAGGAGAGAAGAGAAAAGCAGTGGAAAGAAGAAGGTGGAAGCCAGAGCACTCCTAAAAGAAGTGTAATTTTGGGAAACATCAAAGGTGCTTCCCTCCAGGCCAACTGTTCTTCAAAGACCTTCAAAGTATCTTCAGATACTTTCAAGATATCATTAGATATCTTCAAGGTATCTTCAGAGACCTTCAAGCTATCCTTAGATATTTTCAAGATATCCTTAGATATCTTCAAGATATCTTCAGACCTTCAAAGTATCTTCAGATACTTTCAAGATACCATTAGATACCTTCAAGATATCTTCAGATACCTTCAAATTATCTTCAGAGACCTTCAAGGTATCACTAAATAGCTTCAAGGTATCAATTAGGTATCTTCAGACACCTTCAAAGTATCTTCACACATTTTCACAATATCATTAGATACCTTCAAGATATCTTCAGAGACCTTCAAGGTATCACTAAATAGCTTCAAGGTATCATTAGGTATCTTCAGACACCTTCAAAGTATCTTCAGATACCTTCAAGCCAATTAAACACCATTTGACTACCAGGCCATCTTTTTTTGGGGGGGGGGGAGGGCAACTCTACACAATCAAGACAGCCCTTCTTCTGTTGCCCCAAACCTTTCTCCTTCTCCCTACTCTGAATCACATCTCTCAATAAACGCCCCCTTTTCCAGGTGGCTTCAGGAGGTCCTTTCCCAGCAGTGGCCCGAGACCCTGAAACGCCCGGCTGTCACCTTTTCAGATAACTGGACATTCAGTTGATCGGCAAATTCCTCAGCCCGCTCTGCTCGTTCCTTCTGCGCCTTGATGGCTTTCTTCAGGCTTCTTTGTCCCGATCTCCTTTGGCCTTCAGCTCCTTCAACTGTTCCATGATGTTCTCCACTTCGGCCTTGTGCTGAGCTGCTACCCGCTCCAGATTCTGTAGGGAGGGAGGGAGGGAGGGAGGGAAGGCAGATAGGCAGGCAGGCCATCAGGATGCCCAAGGGGATGTTTAGACCTTCAGGTCCTCAAAGCAGAGTCAGCAGAAACACAAGAGGCTGCCTCATAGTCCTCTTTTAATCAGTTGATCAATGTTTAGCCAAAGCAGACACAACTACAAAGCCATCAATGTTGCTGTGGTCGTGACTGCTCTGGAACTGTTTCCTTAATAGTAAGAAATGTTTTTTTTTCCCCCTGCAGAGTTAGGCCTGTCTGGCAAACATGCTTTGAGAGTCACAGCGGACACGGTTTCTTAATAGACCGTAAAAGCCGCCATTTCTTGGGACATTTGGTATCTCAGATGTCTTCCAGAAGAGGAGAAGATGGTCCAAAAAGAGAGAGAAACAGATCTAGGAGGTTATTTCTAGGCAGCGATTGGAGATGGATCCCATTTATTCAACGACTTATTCTGAAGTTAAGACCTTCTCGTCTTACTGGAAGACTGCTCCAGATCCCAATTGTTCCGTTAATTGTATTCATCACTCCTCCAAAATTGCAATCTATTCAAAGACTGGGAGTTGGTCTACCCATGCAGCAACCTGAATGGACCCTACCTGTACTCAAAGAATGACTTTGCAATAATCCTCTTTTAAGTTAAAATCTCCCCAAGGGTCAAGCAATCTAACAACCCAGAGAGAGAGAGAGAGGGCTCAGCCCCTCGTTGTCTTTATGACTTCAAATAAACAACTAAAAATAGTCTCTACAGAGGGGATGTCCAACTTTGGCAACTTTTAAGAGGGACTTCAACTCCTAGAATTCCTGGCTGGCTAGGAAAGAGCTGGGAGTTGAAGTCCAGAAGTCTTAAAGTTGCCAAGGTTGGACATGTCTGCTCTAACGCTTGTCGTGACACAGTCCAAAACTTGATATACACTGGTATCACCGGGCCCCCTCTCCCCAAAGAAGGATAAGGCACTGTACCCGGATCTGGATACCCAGGCGGTGATTCTCAGCTTCCTTATTCCGCAGCTGTGCTTGTAAATGACCCCTCACAGCTTCCATAGACTTTGAGAGCTCAGCGGCCGTCTTGGCTTGATCCTAGAAGGGAAAAATGAAAGGCAGAACGCAAAGAATGCGTAAAAAAGACTCTGAGACCTACACAAACACACAAAAACCCTCCTTTGCGTTATCTTATCCCCACTCTATACACCCTGCACAGGGAGAACTTACCTTTTCGGTCTGTATCTGAATCAGTAAATCATCCACTTCCTTTTCTTTATCTTGTAGTTTCTTGACTAATTGCTGTCAAATAAAAAAAAGGGGGTAAAATTGCAGGCATCATGGAACAGTATATCCAAATAGAGCCTGGTGGAGCAGCAGACTAATAGCCTGTTATTTTCATCCAGCTGCCTGCAATTACTGCTAGTTCGAATCTCCCCAGGTTCAAGGTTGACTCAGCCTTCCATCCTTTCTAAGGTAGGTAAATTGAGGACCCAGTTTATGGGGGCAATAAGCTGACTTTGTATAAATAATAAAAAATATGAAGGCTATTGCTTAACGCATTGTAAGCCGCCCTGAGTCTCCGGAGAAGGGCGGCATATAAATCAAATTAAAAAAAAAAAAAGGCAATTATTATACACAGGAGGGGATTCAGAAAATGCAGGTATCAAGGTTCAGGTAATGAGTGACAGGTAGTTTGTGCTGTGTGAGAAAGCAGTTATTGAAAATGCAGGTTATGCTCCTTGCAAAAGCAGACTGAAAAAAAAACCCTACAAATTTTAAGCAGATTATTTTGATCAGATCAGGTATGGAGGGGGTGGGGGGATTTCCCAGGGCCTAAAGCACCACCTGCCACCTCCCATTTAAAATAATAATAAAAAAGAAAGTTCTAACTGAAGTGTTATTGGTATGCTGGCAAGAAAACTCAACATTTGAGTAATGTAACACAATAACAGCCGCCCAGAGTCCCTTGGGAGTGGGGTGGCATAGAAACGCGACAAAATAAATAAACAGAGTTGGAAGGGACCTTGGAGGTCTTCTAGTCCAACCCCCTGCTCAAGCAGGAGACTATACAATTCCAGACAAATGGTTGTCCAGTCTCTTCTTAAAACTTCCAGTGTTGGAGCATTCACAACTTCTGGAGGCAAGTTGTTCCACTGATTAATTGTTCCAACTGTCAGGAAATTTCTCCTTAGTTCAAGGGTGCTTCTCTCCTTGGTTAGTTTCCATCCATTATTTCATGTTCTGCCTTCTGGTGCTTTGGAGAATAGCTTGACTCCCTCTTCTTTGGGGCAGCCCCAAAATCCTGCAATCGTATGTTTGAGTCTCCAGGCCTCTTTGTTGCTCTTCTCTGAACTGTTTCCAGAATCTCGACATCTTTTTTTATATTGTGGCGACCAAAACTGGATGCAGTATTCCAACTGTGATCTTCCCAAGGCATTATTAAGTGTATAACTTCATGTGATCTTGATTCTATATATTTACTGTATGTATGTTTGTATGTATGTATGTATGTGTCAGCACTTCAACCTGCATTTACTCTAGTGCTGACATAAGAAGGAGAAGCGGAGGCGTCTGGAAAGGGACGTTTGACTTTTCACCTACTTATTTTCCCTGGAGATAATATCCCCTAGGAGATGGGATGGGAGGGGGAAATTCCTTTGAGCTGGAGCAGTAGATTAGGGGTAGAATGACTTGGAAGATGGCCAATGAGTGCAGGGGAGTGGGGAACGGAAAGGGAGGGTTTTGGGGCTGGACGTCAGTGTTGGCTTCGTTTGGAGTCGGGTTAGAATGTCGTGCTTAATAAATAGGAGTTTTTCTTCAAAGACTTTGTTTGAAATGCAATTTATTTGAGACGACCTCGAAACTTGACAGTATGTATGTATGTATATGTATATAGTAAATTTACTATATTTTCTTTAGCCAGGTTCTTCCTACATAAACCAAGGTTTTTATGCAGCCCTAGTTCAGTGAAATCACAATCCACTAGTTTCTAGGCCTTTTTTTCGGGCAGCCAGCAAGCACTCTGCTGCCCATTGGGAAAGTCTCCTTAGTCTCCCAATGGGCAGCAGAGTGCTTGCTGGCTGCCTGAAGGAAAAAAAGCCTAGAAACTAGTGGATTGTAATTTCACTGAACTAGGGCTGCATAAAAACCTTGGTTTACGTAGGAAGAACCTGGCTAAAGAGAAATACACATAAAGGCCTACGAAAAGAAAAGAAAAGAAATAAATTTACTACGTATGTATACTTACCGCCTTCTCTGTATCGGAGTCAGTTAGCCTTTTCATCAGGGTAGCTTGCTGCTCTGTCAACTTTTGCGCATCTTTCTGTAAAAGAGGAATAAAACCCAGCAAAATTCAGGTCAGATGATCTAGTGGGAATGATGCACAGACTAAGGAAACTCTTCTTCTTGGGCCTTCTAGTTTGGAGAAGTTTTTACGTGGCTCCTGAAAAACTTTTAGGCTCCTATTTTAGGGGCACTGATACCTCTCAGCCGTGCAAACCCTTGCAATGAAGAAGTACAAATCGGCGAGGGCAAAATCTTACGGCCCGGCGCCTCTCACCAAAATGTGCCACTGTAAAGTAACTTACACCACCTTTTATCATCATCGTCGTTTAACGATCCCATAATCCCTTGCGGGGTGGAGTCTGGGCAACTGAATGGAGCTAGCAGAGTGGTTACTGGCCGGATGCCCTTCCTGTGGCCAATGCGGAGTTTTGTTCATCAGATATATTCTCACGAGAGAATTCAAAGAGAAGTATCTAGCCTCTACCTAGGATCGAACTCACAGCCTCCCGATTGTGAGGGGAGAGCTCCACCTTTAGGCCACCGCACCACTCCTAATTTACACCACCTTAATGCTCCCCGTCAAACTTCGCCACGCTTCTGGGTTCTGTATTGGGGGTGGGATAGAGGTTGCAAATGCCTTGGAAGGTGGGATGCTATAGATTTCTTGGGGGACCTTGAAAAGAATTTGCAGGACCGGATCTGGTTAGTATTCACCCGAATGCCGATCCCGATATTTTGACCAGAAATGTTGATTTTTCTAAAACGAGAGGCTGGGTTTGGTTGGGGCCGAGGAATTGCCGGACCATAATCTTCTCAAAAGCCTCACTCACCTCCCGGTTGTGTTGCTCTCTGAGCAAGTCTCGAAGAGTGCGGTTGGTGTCTTCGAAAGTGCTCAGCTTCTGCAGCAACAACTCTTTTTGCCTAGTCAGGGTGTTGATGTCCGAAACGGTCATGTTCTTTTCCTGGGGTTCGGGAAGATCCAAGAAGAAGAGGGGGGAAAAGTATGTTAAAATGTTCCTTTTTGAATCTGAGACGCTCACAAACCCACAGTCGAAGGGACGTCTCTTCTAAGCCCCCCCCCCCCAAACACAAGCAGCCCTTCGGCTTACAATCGTTCCGTTTAGTGACCGTTCAACGTTACAGTGCTCTGAAAAAAAAAAGGGACCGACGACCAGTTTTTGCACTTATAAACATTGGTGTTGTGACCGAGTTCCTGACCCATAGATTTCCACTGCTCTCCTCTCCTCTGCCTTCTGCATATCAGGCACTGGACCCAGCTGTTCCTCCTCCTCCTCCTCATCAGCCACCTCCAGACCTGAAGGCTGTTGACTCTCCATCTGAGGGCTGATGGACGGCCCAGGCTCCACCTCTCTCTCTCTGCCAGCTCCATTCCCTCTTCCCCCTCGGAGCTCTCAGGTTGCCTTGAAGCTGACCCTGACTCCCATACCTCCTCCTCTCTTCCTCCGACAGGCCACAACAACAGGATTCAAATTTGGGTGCTTGGCAACCGTCCGTTTAGATTGGTGGCCGTACCTCAGATTCATGTTGATTGTCATTTGCGACCTTGTTGGTGACAAGCAAAGCCAGGGAGGAAAGTCAGATTCGCTTAACGACTGCGCAATTCACGCGACTCACGACTGCAACGGAGCCCAGCATTTCTGTTGCTAAGCGAGACATTCGTGAAGTGAGTCTTGCCCCGTCTGACGACCTTTCTGGCCACCGTTGTTAAGTGAACCGCTCCAGTCGATAACATGGTCGTTAAGTGAATCCGGCTTCCCCACTGACTTTGCTGGTCGCAAGAAAAGTGATCGCATGACCTTGGGACACAGCGACGGTCATAAGCACGAACCAGTTGCCGAGCGTCTTTTGAGTTTTGATCGCGTGGCCGCGGGGAGGCTGCAAAAGGCCGTTAAGTGTGGAACGCGGTCTTGAGTTCCCTTTTTTCAGAGTTGCCGTAACTTTGAACGGTCACTAAATGAAACCGGTGTAAGTCGAGGACTACCTGCACCATGACTCTCAGCAGAGGCCAAAAAGGTCATGTATCAGTGGAAAAGGCTGGTCTTTCCAATTGTAGTCATAAGTCGAGGACTGCCTGTACCTCCCCGAGAGAGGAAAAACTGCCCCTCTGCACACCCAACTCTGCCCGTACCGTTTTCAGTTTCCCAATCACGTCCTTCAAGGCCTGGATCTGTTTGGAAGCGGCTGCCCCATCCAGTTCGGCCTCCACCAGTTTGGACATCAAACACTCCTTCTCGTGCAACAGATGCCGTTTCTGGAGTCTGAAAAGGAGAGAACGTGGGAATACCAGTGAAAGAGTGTGGAGGGGGAAGGGGTGGGTTGCAAGACCAGAGAGAGAGAGAGAGAGAGAGAGAAGGAAAGAGAGAGATGAAAGAGAGAGAGAGAGAGAGAGATATGGAAGAGAGAAAGAGAAAGAAAGAAAGAGATGAAAGAGAGAAAGAGAGAGAGAAGTGGAAGAGAGAGAAAGAGAAAGAGAGAGAGAGAGATGGAAGAGAGAGAGAGAAAGAGAGAGAGAGAGAAAGAAAGAAAGAGATGGAAGAGAGAAAGAGAAAGAAAGAGAGATGAAAGAAAGAGAGAGAGAGAAGTGGAAGAGAGAGAGAAAGAGAAAGAAAGGGAGAGAGAGATGGGAGAGAAAGAAAGAGAGAGAAAGAAAGAGATGGAAGAGAGAAAGAAAGAGAGATGAAAGAAAGAGAGAGAAAGAGATGGAAGAGAAAGAAAGAGAGAGAGAAAGAGAGAGAGAGATGAAAGAAAGAGAGAGAGGGGTGGATCGATCTTTTCTTTTAATAGGCTCTAAGCTAAAAAGCGAGGCATTTCCCCACTCCCCCCAAGAGGCAACTGGAATTTCTGGTTTTTCTTTGAAGGCATTTCCCTTCTCATCCAAGAAGCTTCTTCAGATCTGACTCGATGCTGGTGGGGAATGGAAGGATTTATACTCCGTGCAGACAGCTGGTCATTTGCATCCTTTTTAGCGAGTCGTTGAGGGCACTTGGAGGTTGATCTGTGTCCTCAGGATCACCTGAGTGGTGGAAATGGGTGTAGAGCCTTCTTGGAACTGTTGAAAGATCTAACACAGTCCTTTCAACAGTTCCAAGGCGGCTCTACATCCATGATGGCAAATCTATGGCATGCGTGCCAGACGTGGCACGTAGAGCCCTCTCTGTGGGCACACGTGTCTTCGTCAGTTGCTTTTCTGGTTTCCGCACACCTGAGCACCGGAAACCTGAATACCACCTCTGGTCTTCGGGTTTCTGGCATTCCAGCGCACATGTGTGCATTCCGGTTTGGGCACTCGGTGCCGAAAAGGTTCGCCATGACTGCTCTACACCTTTTTGCGCCACCTCAGGTGACCCTGAGGACACAGATCAACCTCCAAGCGGTCTCAACGACTCTCTAAAAGAGAGGTCTTCCAACTTGGCAGCTTTAAGACTTGTGGACTTCGACTCCCAGAATTCTCCAGCCGGCATAGCTGGAGAATTCTGGGAGCATAGCTGGCTGGAGAATTCTGGGAGTTGAAGTCCACAAGTCTTAAAGCTGCCAAGTTTGAAGACCTCTGCTCTAAAAGGATGCAAATGACCAGCTGTCTGCAAGGAATATAAATCCTTCCGTTCCCCACCACCATCCACTCAGAGCAGAAGAAGCTTCTTGGATGAGAAGCAAAACGTCTTCAAAAGGAAAAAAAAACAACAACAAGGAAGTCCAGTTGCCTCCTGAAAAAAAACTACGTTGGGACACAGAGTTAAAGCCAAATGAAATAGGTTTATAATACTCTAGGGCAGAGATGGCTAACCTGTGCCCATACCCATAATTCTACGCGCCCTGCCCCCCCACGCATGCGTGTGTGATCCCCCCCAATACTCCCCTCGCTTTTGGCATCCGATGGCACAGTGGGCCCAGTAGGCCCGTTTTTTGCCCTTCCCAGGCTCCAGGGACTTTCTAGGAGCCTGGGGAGGGCGAAAAACAGCCTTCCCCACTCCCTCCGGAGACACCCCCCCCCCCCGAGAGGCTGGAAAAAGCCCATTTGCTGATTCCAGTGGGCCCAGAAGACCCAAAAATCAGCTGGCCAGCGCGCGCATGCGTGCTGGAGCTGAGCTAGGGCAATGCTCGCCTGCTCACCAATATGGCTCCACGTGCCACCTGTGGCACGCGTGCCATAGGCTCGCCATCACGGCTCTACGGCAAGAGTCTCCAACTTTGGCAACTTTGTGACTTCCAACTCCCAGAATTCTTCAGCCAGCCAGCACGGCGTCCAATCCACATCGTGGCTGGCTGAGGAATTCTGGGAGTTGGAGTCCACATGTCGTAAAGTTGCCGAGACCTCTAGTCCTTTTTTTTTTAAGAGAAGACCACTGCTTGGTGGTCCTTCCCGACCCCCCCAAGTTGACCGACGTTTCATTTACATGCTCAGATCTTTTTCCTCCTTCATCCTTTCAATATTGCGACGGAGGACTGTGTTCTCGTGTTCGGTCTCCACCAGCTCTTGAGTGACCTCGTCCAACTCGTCCTTCTGCTCCTCCAGAAGACGCTTGGCTACACAGCCCGTCCCAACAGGCTTTGGCATCGGACATTTGACCTGCGGACAAGCGGAACCGAGTCAACGGGCGGGTTTCACCCGCGGCACCCCAGAAACTCACGCTAGATCAGAGGTCACCAACTAGTGGTTCGTGGACCACTGATGGTCCTCAGAAAACTTATTTGCAATTTTTATTTTGCACTAAATCAGGGGTCCTCAAATTACGGTCCCTGGCTGTGCAATGAACGTTTGTGTTGCTGCAGAGAGTCTCTCCCTTCGGGGTCTTTTTGTGTGGGTCGGAGGAGGGCAGAAATTCCGACTCGGGGTCTTCTTTGCCCTCCAGGTGAAGGCTGGAGGGAAGAGCCACTGGTGGCGAAGAGCCGGAGGGCCTCGTTCCAGTGGGACAGCCTCATGGCCTGGAACTGACTGACCATCTCAGCCTGCCGAGCCTCCAGGCGCTGGTACCTGGCCTTGCACTCCCGCAGGTCTTCCCTCTGCTTGGAAAGCCTATGCTCCTAGTCCTCAGTGAGGTGCTCCTGCTAAGCCTCCTGCTCGGCCAGATCCAATTTGAACTGAGCCAGCTGTTTTGCCAACTCTTTCTCATGGTGGCTGCCTAGCTCCAACAACTGTTAGGGCCCTAAGGAGTCCGGGCAGGCAGATGAAGAGTGGCTGGGAGGGGAGGGGGGGGGAGTAGAGACCGGTGAGGCGCCCCTCGATGTGAGTGACATCAAGTTGGCCACACCCACCCAGTCACATGACCACCTAGCCACGCCCACTCAGCTGGTCATTAAGCAGATCATATTATGAATTTAGTGGTCCCTGAGGTCCGAAAGGTTGGGGATCCCTGAACTAGATCACTCTCACGAATGTGGGACAAAATCACAGAACATGTTCCGGTTTGGTCAACCCGCTCCAGTTGTCCAGCCTAAATTCCCTGAATGCCAACATTCAGGGCTACAAAATTTCTCCTTATCGGTTTGTGGATAATCACAGGCACAAGTCAACACACTCTGATTTATCAGGCAGTTATTAGTACCTATATAAGTTGAGTAAACAAGAGGATTTTCTTGGACATCGACGTTAAACTGTTCTTGTATTTTTGGAAAAATAAGCACTGGCAATTTTATTCTTTTCTTTGGCTCTTTTCTAAGGAGGCAGCTCCAAATAAGCAGGGGGGGAAAAGCAAATTCTACTTAATTCTTATTAGCTGCCTAGCGGTAAATCAAAGACTTGCAGAAAAGAAATATAATTCAAGGCTGATAAAAATATTGGAAAAACCTAATTAATTTCTTCATCTTACTGCTTTTACTTTTGGGGAGGGGGTGAGGAAAGAACCATTTCATTATATTTCTTTCAAAAACTCAATCAATGCTGGGCCCCCAGATATGGCTCCTTCCAGATTTTCTTTGAAGACGTTTCGCTTCTCATCCAAGAAGCTTCTTCAGCTCTGACTGGATGGTGGGGAATGGAAGGATTGATACTCCTTGCAGACAGCTGGTCATTTGCATCAGGGGTGCAATGCTACCGGTTTGGACCGGTTCGCCGGAACCGGTAGTAATAAAAGCTACTGGTTCGGGCAAATGGGTATTTCCGATGATCAGCTGTGCCACATGATTTATATTGGCTAGAAAGCAGGAAATCCTGCTTTCTAGCGAATCTAAATCGTGCGGCACAGCTGTTTCCTCTCCCCTCGCTGTTCTACTTACCTTTGAAGACTCAGCAAAGTGCGCGCTTGGTGTGCACTGTGCATGCGTGTGCGAAGCAAACCGGTAGCGAAGCAAACCAGTAGCAGACTTCAGAGCATTTGCATCCTTTTAGAGAGTCGTTGAGGCCCCTTGGAGGTTTATCTGTGTCCTCAGGGTCACCTGAGTGGTGCAAATGGGTGTGGAGCCTTCTTGGCTGCAGGAGGTTTTCTGCCCTGTGCCCCTTCACCGTTGACCCTGTTGACCGAGACAAACCTCCAGGTGGCCTCAAGGACTCTCTAAAAAAAGGATGCAAATGACCAGATGCCTGCAAGGAATATAAATCCTTCCATCCTCCACCATTCAGTCAGAAACATTCAGTCTGGTCCTGATGGGTTTGTTCTCCTATGTCGAGCCATCCGTTTATGAAGTGGTTGTTTTGTTTCCCCCAAATCACCAGCGGCCTGCAAGGAGGATAAATCCTTCCAATCCTCACCGTCCATTCAGATCTGAAGAAGCTTCTTAGATGAGAAGCGAAACGTCTTCACAGGCGGGGGCTGGGAGGGGGGGGAAGGGAAGCACCTTTGGGACAATTCACGCGTAGTTCCCCCACCTCGTTTTTCAATGTTCCCACGACATTGAGTAAGCTGTCGATCTTCTTCTCGTATTTGTTCATCTTGCAATGAATGGCGTCCTCCTCGTCGGTGGAGAGATCACTCAAGCGAAGCACAGACAGCAGCTTGTCGGAATCTGGAGGGGTGATTTCCAGGCGATGGGTCGGTCCCTAATTAAGGGTGGCAAGAGCGCAATAGGATAGAGCCCAAAACCCCAGAGCAGCCTCCCCTAAGCTGGCTGCCCTCCAGAAAAATCAAAGCGGTGGGGGAAGAGTGGAAAAAGGGAAGTCTGCCAGGCAGAGGTGGGTTTCATATAATTTTACCACCGGTTCGCCGTGCACCGGAAATGTGAGCGCATGCCTTCCGCGCATAGGATTTTGCTCTATTCTGATTCTGAAATAAAACGGCATAGCGCCGGGGCGGGGAGGGGGCACCTGCAGGTCGCCGCTACCAATTCGCCCAAACCGGCTGAATACCACCACTGCTGCCGGGGAAAGAGGAGGGCGAAGAGTGATACCGACTAGAGGCAGCGTCCACAGCTTGCCTCTTCAGCGGAAGGTGTGTTAAAAGCACACAGGAAAAGCATCGGGATGATTTAGGATAGACCGGAATCCGCCGTGGGACTTTCCGGGAGGGAAAATACAATACGGGTAGTCTTTGACTTACAACAGTTCATTTAGTGACCGTTCAAAGTTACGACAGCATTGGGAAAAAGAGGGACGTGGGACTGTTTTTCACACTTAACGACTGTTGCATCCCGACGGTCACGTGATTAAAATTCAGGCATTGGGCAACTGAGTCGCATTTATGACACGTTGCAGGGTCCTGGGGTCGCGCGATTCCCTTTTGCGACCTTCTGACAAGCAAAGTCAAGGGGGATTTGTTCAATGTACTAATTTAAATACTGCAGAGATTCGCTTAACGACTGTGGCAACAAAAGGCCGTAAAATGGGGGAAATCTCACTTAACAACTGTTTCGTGACAGAAATTTTGGGCTCAATTGTGGTCGTAATTTGAGGATTACCTATAATGGATTGTTAGCAGAGGGTGTTGAGTAATTTTGCTGTTGGTTTTACCTGTTAACTATCTTTATTTTTCCATATTTAGTAAATAGATGGCAGGCCAAGTGGGCTGCATAAACCATGTTGTAGAAAATTATAAATTGTGTGTCTGCTTTGCAACCGGGGAGGTGGTGGTGGGGTGGATGGACAGGAATTATCTTTGAAATATATTTATCAGTATTCAAGTAGGGGGGACAATTTATGTATGTTTTAGCTTTTCTTCTTATTCCCTTTGTTTTGGGGTGGTGGCGTAATTTTGTTTCTGCTTTTGTATTTCATTTTCTGCCTTTTAGTGCTTGTAGCCTGTATTTTAAATATTTTAATGTCTACATTAGACTTTCCGCCGTGCCATCAAAACATTTCTTTTCCAGCAGGCCGGCCTGGCCTAACCTTTCTTTTAAACTTTTTAAAATTTTAAACTTTAAATTTGTCTTATGAATTTGGGGTGTTTTAAATTTTGTTTTTTGGGCCAATTATCTAATTGGGCCAATTATCTAATTTTAATGGTTTTTTAACATTTGTATTATATGTATTTTATTTGGCTGTTCACCGCCCTGAGTCCTTTGGGAGTAGGGCGGTATACAAATTCAATTAATAATAATAATAATAATAATAATAATAATAATAATAATAATAATAATAATAATAATATTTTAATGCTTCGAATCACATTCTTAAAAAATTAAAAAGAGCAATCAAGGGGCTGGAAATGCATGGCCTGGGTAAGCTTAGTTCCTAAACCAAACCATTTCTCTCCCCCCTCCCTCCCCCTCCCCATGAGACTTACACTGGGGGTTCCCCCACCCCTGGGCTGCAGGTCAGCACTGGTCCACAGCGCACCAGAAACCGGGCCACGCAAATGAGCGAAGCCCCACGAGAAGCTCCCTCTGTTCCGTGGGAAAACCTCCCCCCACGGAACCGATCCCTGGCGCCAAAAAAGCTGGGGCCTGTTGCCTCACACCCCATCCCGGTACCTATGTCGTTTGTGTGTCCCACCCGCACCCCCCGCTCTATTGGCACTTCAGCCTCAGTACCTGAGAGATAAACAACCCGCGTGGCTTAAACCAGAGTCCTCAAGCCCACGAGCCGCAAACCCACTGCGGTGTGTTCGGGACTGGCCCGCGCGAGTGCTTACGCGCAGCTCAGCTTGTGTGTGAGTGAGCGACAGCTCGACTTGTACAAGCAGCGGGCTGGTTCCCCTCTGCCCTATCTCTCACCCCGCCGGGCTGCCAAGCCGTAAAGTTTGGGGAACGCGACTCTGTTTTCCCCCAAAATAAGACATCCCCTGATAATAAGCCCAATCGGGCTTTTGAGCGCATGCGCTAAAATAAGCCCTCCCCCCCGCCCGAAAATAAGCCCTCCCCGAAAATATTTAAAACACAGAGCTGGGAATCAGATAAGATGGCAAGAGGAGCCCTACGCGCCCCAAAATAATAAGACCTCCCTGAAAATAAGGCCAAGCGCTTATTTCGGGGTTCAAAAAAAATATATAAGACAGGGTCTTATTTTCGGGGAAACACGGTAGTTTAGACAGCCACAGCCACCCTCTGTTTGTGCAAGGTAGCCGAAAAATCCGTCAAATCCTGGCTCCCTGGGAAGAACCGAGAGCCGGGGCCCGGCTGCAGGGAGGGAGGGGAGGGGAGGGTTGGGTGTTTGCCTACCTCCCACTTGTACGATGATTCTCTGCAAGATGTTTTGCCTGGGGGCATCCAGGGGACTTTAGTTTTTACTCGGACACTGCGGCGCACATTCACGGTATCCCCTTTCATTTTCTGCTTGTGCCTCTGCTGCGGGAGAGGGGGGGAGGGGAGGACGGAGGAAGGAGGAGAAGAGGAGCTTTTGAGCCTCGATTCCCGCCTTCCCCCCCCCTTTCCCGGACGGTGACCGCGGGGCGAGACTCTGCAAAGCAAACCGTGGCTTTTCCCCCCTCACCACCCTGCCCCTCTGCCCGCCGCCCCCTACCCCCCCCCTTGCCCGGAGGCATGCCAAGAACTTGTACCACAGAAAAAGCGTCACACTCTACATCACAGATCAGTCTCAGTAACCACGCTCAGGAAAAAGAAATATAGGTACCGCATAGCTAGGAGAGTATGGGGACAGACTGGCAGGAGCATTGGGCTGGGTTAACCAAGGCCATTGTGACATCACCTAGGTTGCCTAGCCTCTTGTGATGCGAAGCAGGCCCTTAGTTACCCTGGGAAGATTAGATTGGGGGCAATTTGGAGCGTGGCAGCCGAAGAACCCCTGGCTTCTTCCGACAGAAACCCGGAGCAGCTGAAGGGGAAGCCCCCTCTCCCCCTCCGCCCCGCCATAATTTAGGCAAGGTTTCTAAGGAGAGGTCTGGGGACCTTGTGGGCCTTCCCAACAGTACAGACAATTCAGTTAAGCACAGCCACACAAATCGTGACTTAAGCGACACCAAGCCAATGAGATAAGTCGAGGATAGGAAGCGTAGGAAAGCTCCGGAGATCTGAAATAACTCCTTCCTAAGAACTTTTAATCGGTTTTGGACCACTTCGCACGGTGAACTTTTAAACCAAATTTTTTATTCCCTCCATCCTCCAAGAGCTAAGCTGATTGATAGGAAATTCACACAACCCCACTAAGAAATATTATAATTTCTTCTCCTCCTCCTCCTCCTCGCTTTGTCCTCTGTCAGCTCAGCGACAAACCTCCCCTTGAGATTACAAAAGAGAACGAGCCAGGATCCATCCTCCTGGGCAACAGAGCTGATTCTGAGCAAAATTCCTACGCCAGGTATTTTGGATGGAGAAACGGGATCCGAAACGCTTGCCCCAATTTTATATACAGTTACGGACGATTTCCAGCAAAGAGAGAGGAAGCTTCAAGCAGCAGCAGCAGCAGCAACAGAGGGAGTAAAGCTGGCAACGGATACCGAGGAGCAGCCACAAAGCAGACAGACATTTTGGCCTCGCAAGGGGGCAGAACTCGGCTGCCCCTTCATACCTGCGGTTTTGCTGACGGTGGCGTTTTCTGACCCTTTTTAATATGGACATGGACAGGGGTACTTTCATCCACGTGGACGTGCAAAGGGGGAGTTGTGGAACGGCTCTTCATGCTTCTCCTCGGGCAAACAGGAAAGGGCATTCAACAGGGTGGAAAAGGGCAACCTGTGAATAAGTAGACTTAGAAATAACACGGGGGCCACCAAGACAAAACAACAACAACAAGAAGTACAACGCCAGAAGGGAACGTCCGACCACTCTCAGCCTTAGGAGCCATTTCCTCAGACCTATGGAAGAAACCGTCCACGTTCCACAAACTTAACCTGCCACAGAGCCACATCCTATCAAAGAGGCACGCGTCTGTCTCTACAGAGCGTGGTGCCCTGATGTCCTTCAGCGACCGATGAGGGCAAGCAGAGCAAACTCTAGAGAATGGTAGCCTTCCCAGGAGGAACTGGGAAAACGTGGCTTCCCATTCTCATTTAGTTTTTATCTCTGGCAAGCTGATGTTTCTTGTTTGAACCAGTTCAAATAAAGCAGTTTAAAAATCAATGTCTTTTTTTTTTTTTTAAAGCTTCCAAGTTTCTCCATATAAAGGAAAAGGCGTTTCTCATCCGGCTAAATTGTGACTTAAGAGTTGTGTCGCAAGCAAACCGCATTGTCTTTTAACTGGCGTGTCACAACGATGCACGCGGTGGGAATCCAAAACCTTGTGGATCAGCTCAATTTCAGGACTCCCGTGTACTTCATAAAAAACAGGAGCACCGAGCAATTGTTCATTGACCTGAACAATTAGTTTTGACAGGTTCGTGGGCACACCCATCCCGTAAATACTATCCTGCCTTTGGAATCTTCCACCATGTGTCCCTAGATACGCAACAAATGAAGATTTCTCCCCAGGTCACTGGCTATCACGAAGCTTCCTAGACATCATCCAACCACTATAAACAACTCCATCTGACCCTGAAATAAAGCAACCCCATTGTTTTTTTTTTTTTAAAGGAAAAGGTTAGTGCTGTTATTTCAAGTATCAAAAGGGAGACCCGGTGGGCGCGGCAACCTACAGATAGCGTATGGTTCTCTTGGGTGCAGGGTTTCTGGGTTGTGATGATTATTCCACTCTTGATCGATGGGGACAATCTGGAAGCACAAAAAAAATAAAAGAAGTTAGCGCTTTTCAAGGAAATTCAGTGTTTCTTTCTCCTTTTTTTTTTTTTAAAAAAAATTGATTTATATGCTGCCCTTCTCCGGAGACTCAGGGCGGCTTACAATGTGCTCAGCAATAGCCTTCATCCTTTTGTATATTTATACAAAGTCAGCTTATTATTGCCCCCACAAACTGGGTCCTCAATTTACCTACCTTAGAAAGGATGGAAGGCTGAGTGTCAACCTTGAGCCTTGGCGAGATTCGAACCTGCAGTAATTGCAGGCAGCTGGTCTTAATAACCAGCTTAATAACAGGGTGCCTTAGACCACTGTACTACCAAGGCTCTTTGGGCAGAGACCTTCCACAGAGCTCTCTCTTTCTCTTTTTTTTGGACAGTTTTAATTCGCAATGTTTACAGGTAATCCTCGATTTACAACAGCTGATTTAGTGACTGTCCGAAGTTACGACATTGAAAAAAAGCAATTTATGGCTTTTTTTTCCTTACAACTTGCAACCACTGAGCAGCCCCATGGTCGTGGGATCAAAATTCAGACGCTTAGCAACGGACTTTTATGAGGGTTGCAGTGTCCCAGGGTCACGTGATCCGCATTTGCGACCTTCTGACAAAGTCCACAGGGAAGCCAGGTTCACTTAACCACCAGATTACTAATTTAACAATTGCAATGATTCATTAACCCAACTGTGGCAAGGTGGGGCAAAACTCACTTAACCGCTGCCTTGCTTAGCAACAGAAATTTTGGGCTTACTTGTGGCCACAAGTCGAGGATTACCTGTATTTCTATTTCAAGCGCACACCCATCCCAGAGATTTTGGGCGACGCCATCCTGCCTTTGAAATCGAGTTAACAAGAAATCCCCGCTCCCCCTCCCCCTGCGTAATTTGGATTTTTAGTGGTTCGTTGTATCTTTCAATGCATATGGATAGATTTTTTTTAAGGATTGTATGCCTCCCAGAGTTACCTTGTGATAAGATGGGCAGCCAATCAATTTAATAAATAAATATAATAAATGAATTAATATAGATACGTATAGATCAGAGTAGATAGATAGATAAATAGATAGATAGATAGATAGATAGATAGATAGATAGATAGGAGATATACAGAGAGCGAGATTAGATAGCAGACAAACAAGATATTAGATACTGTAGACATATATAGAGAGAGAAAATAGAAGACAGAAGACATTAGATAGTTGATAGATGATACTGTAGACAAATACATAATAAATATAGAGAAAATAGAAGACAGATAGGAGACATTACATGATAGATACTGTAGATAGATAGATAAATACAGTAGACAGATACATAGAGAGAAAACAGAAGTCAGAAGACATTAGATGATAGATGAAAGATACGGTAGACAAATATATAATACATAGATACATAGATATATAGAGAGAATAGATATATTCTCTATAGATATAGAGAAAATAGAAGACAGATGGAAGACATTAGATAGATGATACTGTAGGTAGATAGATAGATACTATATATACATATATAGAGAGAGAGAAAACAGAAGACAGATGGAAGACATTAGATGATAGATAGACAGAAAGAATATAAAATTAATAGATAGGGATAGATAAGATAACTATCTAGCTAGATGAGAAAGAGAGAATAGATGAGATAGACAGATGATAGACAGATAGTAGATAGGTAGGAGAGAAATAAACATGACAGATGAATGCATAGATAGATAAACAGACATAAGTATCTATATAATAGTTGATAGATGTAGATAAGAGATTAGATAAAGAATATATATATATAGAGAGAAATAGAAGACAGATACAAGACATTAGATGATAGATACTGTAGACATATATATATATATATAGAGAGAGAGAGAAAATAGAAGACAGATAGAAGACATTAGATGATAGACAGAATATAAAATTAATAGATAGGGATAGATAAGATACTATCTAGCTAGATGAGAGAGAGAGAATAGATGAGATAGACAGATGACAGATAGTAGATAGGTAGGAGAGAGATATAGATGATAGATGAATGCATAGATAGATAGATAGATATAATAAATAGATGTAGATGAGAGATTAGATAGATAAAGAATATATATATATATATATAGAGAGAGAGAAAATAGAAGACAGATGGAAGACATGAGATGATAGACAGAATATAAAATTAATAGATAGGATAGATAGATAGCTATAGCTAGATGAGAGAGAATAGATGTATCAGATAGACAGATGACAGACAGATAGTAGATAGTAGGAGAGAGATATAGATGATAGATGAATGCATAGATAGATAAATAGATATAATAAATAGATGTAGATGAGAGATTAGATAGATAAAGAAAATATATATATATATATAGAGAGAGAGAAATAGAAGACAGATGGAAGACATGAGATGATAGACAGAATATAAAATTAATAGATAGGGATAGATAAGATAGCTATCTAGCTAGATGAGAGAGAGAGAATAGATGAGATAGACAGATGACAGATAGTAGATAGGTAGGAGGAGAGAGATATAGATGATAGATGAATGCATAGATAGATAAATAGATATAATAAATAGATGTAGATAAGAGATTAGATAGATAAAGAATATATATATATAGAGAGAGAGAGAAAATAGAAGACAGATGGAAGACATGAGATGATAGACAGAATATAAAATTAATAGATAGGGATAGATAAAATAGCTATAGTTAGATGAGAGAGAGAGAATAGATGAGATAGACAGATGACAGATAGTAGATAGGTAGGAGAGAGATATAGATGATAGATGAATGCATAGATAGATAAATAGATATAATAAATAGATGTAGATAAGAGATTAGATAGATAAAGAATATATATATATAGAGAGAGAGAGAAAATAGAAGACAGATGGAAGACATGAGATGATAGACAGAATATAAAATTAATAGATAGGGATAGATAAAATAGCTATAGTTAGATGAGAGAGAGAAAGAGAATAGATGAGATAGACAGATGATAGACAGATAGTAGATAGGTAGGAGAGAGATATAGATGATAGATGAATGCATAGATAGATAAATAGATATAATAAACAGATGTAGATAAGAGATTAGATAGATAAAGCATATATATATAGAGAGAGAGAGAAAATAGAAGACAGATGGAAGACATTAGATGATAGATAGACAGAATATAAAAATAGATAGGGATAGATAAAATAGCTATAGTTAGATGAGAGAGAGAGAATAGATGAGATAGACAGATGATAGACAGATAGTAGATAGGTAGGAGAGAGATATAGATGATAGATGAATGCATAGATAGATAAATAAATAGATATAATAAACAGATGTAGATAAGAGATTAGATAGATAAAGAATATATACATAGAGAGAGAGATAAGAGATTAGATAGAAGACATTAGACAGACAAAAGATAAAAGACATGAGATATAGGTAGGTAGGTCGGTCAGTCAGTCACTATTCCTGCTCAACCTCCCATAGACTTCAGATTTCGGAAGCGGAGCCTCCCCGTGCAGGGGCAGTCTACCGCCAGGAGAGCCGAAGCGGCGGTTTGGCCCACGCGGCTTCCCGTCGCTGACGTTCCTCCTCCTCCTCCCCCCTCCCTCCCCAGCCCCTCCCTCCCCTCAGGGGGCTCACCGTGAGGTTCGGAGATGACCGCGGAGCCTCCGCCTCAGCACGTCCTCGAAGCCGTGGATGAGGCGGCGGTAGCTGCCCACGCTACCATGGAGACACGGGAGCCGGGGCGTCGGCGGCCGCGGCCAGAAGCCGCCGCCGCCTCCCCCGCCGCCGTAGCAGCCGCCTCCGCTGCCGCCGCCGCCGCTGCTGTAGCACCGGCAGGACCCCGCCGCCGCCGAACAGCCGCCGCTCCACGACCCGCAGAGCGGCTTCCGGCTCCGCCTCCTAGACCCCGCCCGCCGCTCCCCCATTGGACGGTTCAAACCCCACGCCGAACGGCGCGCACCCTCGTGACCGCCTCCGCTTCCGGCCGGCCCGCGCCTGCAGCCCGCCGCCAGGCTCTCTCGCCCTTCAGTTCCCGCCCTCCGTTGCCAGGAGACGCCGCGCGGGGCGTCACAAGGCGCGTCCGGCGAGGGGAGGGGGAAAAAACAACAACGCCGCGACGCCGTTGCCGGGGAAACGAAGGGAGGGGCAGGGGAGAAAAAAAAATAATCAAACTGACAGGCTCTGGAGAAAACCTGGAGCTGGAATAAGGCCGTCGGATTGGGGAAAATAAATATATATATTTATATATAAATATTTATATAAATATTTAATATATACAAATATTTATAAATATAATAAATTTATATATATATATATATTTATATAAATATAAGTATATATATAAATATATATATATACTTTGTCAAAACGTCGCCAAGACACTTCCAATTTTATGCGGGAGAAAACCCGAATACCCAAAGACCTACATAAATATACATACATACATACATACATATATGTAATTCTTTCTGAAACGGAGACGAGCACCGCCCTAGAGTCGGGAACGACTAGCCCATATGTGCGAGGGGAACCTTTCTGGGCTTGGGGACTATAGTTCCCATCATCCCCTACCACCTTGGTTCCATTAGATCAGATCAAAGGTGGGGGGAAACCTGGGCCTGGATGTATCTGTTTGGATTGGACTTCATTCATGCTGGAGCCCTCCTGAGGGAATAAAGACCCTTCTGGGTTTATAGGCCTTATATCAAATCAAGGGGTTGATATGGAACATTTTTTTTTAGATTTGTTTTGACTGTAGTCAATTTGACTATATAAAGATGAATTCCTTGTGTGTCCAATCACACTTGGCCAATAAAGAATTATATCTATCTATCTATCATCATTATCTATCTTATCATCTCTATATCTATCATTATCATCATCTCTATATCATCTATCTATATCTCTATCCTGTATCTATTTATCTATCTTATCATCTCTATATCTATCATCATTATCTATCATTATCATCTCTATATCATCTATCTATATTTATCTATCTTATCATCTCTATATCACTCTATCTCTATTCTGTATCCATTATATCTATCTATCTCTTATCTCTATCATCATCATCTATCTTATCATCTCTATATCTATCATCTATTTTATAATCTCTATATCTATCATTATCTTATCTCTATCCTGTATCTATTATATCTATCTGTCTTATCATCTCTATATCTATTATCTAGCTTATTATCTATCTTATCATCTTTATATCTATCATTATCTATCTAATCATCTCTATAGCTATCACCATTATCTACCTATCATCATCTCTATCTCTATCTCTCTATCTTGTAAGCCACTCAGAATTGCTTTGGATGGCGAGATGGGCAGCATATGAATTTAATAAATTAAAAATAAATAAAATTATATCTTCAGCATCAGATCCTTTCCACCCACAGTGTTTTTAAATTGTTCTTCAGGCGTGTTTGTTTGTTTGTTTTGAGGCTTCACCGGTGTTAAACGTGTACAATTAAACCCCCAAAAGACACACAAAATCATCAACACAAAACCTGGCTTTGCCAGTTCTGCATTAGGGCTTTGTAGCGGTTTAAGCGGAATTTTAATCAGAATTACAATAAAATGTCTCCCTCAGCTCCTTTGGGGGTGCTGACGATGGACCTGTGAAGAAACAGCCTTAAGTTCAAGAACTGATTGTGATGGTTTGAGTTCAACATGACAGGGAAATCCACTGTAAGCCGATTATGGTTTACAACTTGCCATATTTAACTATGTGGTCCAGTCATCTTATTATCATATATGGTGGACATGTGTAGAAGCAAAAAAAAATATTGGACAAAAATACATACATGGCTGGAAAAGATGATAAAAGCCGCACACTGATTTAAAACCAGAAATATTCTTGTTGGGGAATGTTACCTGAAACTTATAGTAAAGAGAACGCATATTTCATTATTCATGTATTAACTGCAGCAAGAATCGTATTCGCACAAAATTGGAAAAGTGAAGAGATCCTCCGTACTGATGAGAATGTGATTTAGGAAAATATTAGAATGTGCATAAATGAACAGATTAACGCTGGCAATTAAGGAGAAAGAACAAACTGAATATTATATGATATGGGAATTATTTTAGAGAATAAAAATGGAAGTTGGAAACAAAAGGAGATTAAAGAACAGTAGAAAATGTTAAGATAGAGAGTAAACAATATAATAGTATTATGATTATTATATTCTTATTAGATAATAAGAGGGAAAAATGAATAAGTTTACTATGCTCAATTGTTCAATACACTATAATGGTAAGATTAGAGAATTAATATCAATGTAGTGAATGATGTTGTAAATTTTGATGGTTATTGCAGAGATATTTGTACCCATACACTGTTGAAGAGAAGATGGAATGTTTATATTTTAAAAAAAAACTTTTAAAAAAAACTATGGTCCAGTCAATAAACCCATAATATAGAGCTCTAACATAGAGCTGAAGAAGCTTCTTGGGATGAGAAGCAAAACATCTTCAAAGAAAAACCAAAAAAATCGAGTTGAAAAAGCATCTTTGACCTAACAAGAGATATTCTAGTCTAATCTAATAACCATTTCTAATAACTATCTAATAACCATTTCTGAGGTACTTTGCTGGTCAAACGCCCTTTTATATGAACCCTGAGGGTTGAAAAGCCTTTTGCTTTCAGCCAATGGGAAGAGACCACAGGCAAACAACGTGGCTATTGGGTCTTTCTGCGGGCACAAGGACCAATAGTCTCGCCAGATAAGAGAGCCAATGGAGGAGAGGAGTCTGAAGCTGGGCCACCAATTAGGTAAGTGCTGGCTTGGCAGGGAGGGGGGCTATGGGGGGGGCAGAGATGGTATATAAAGGGGGCAGCTGCCAGCAGGAGCCACTTTGCCCCTCAGAAGAGCTGGAAGTCAGAAGAAGGAACAGAAAGGAAGGCTGGAAGACTCTGAAGACAGCAGAGGAAGAAGGGCTGGAAGGCAGAAGACTAGAGGAGGACTTGGAGAAGTGGGAGCTCTTGAGCTGAACACCAAGAAGAGACCTGTGGGTCATCTGCAGCAACGCCTAGGAAGAAGGAAGAGTAACCCCAGCAAGTCCAATTCCTGAGGAAAGGGAATAAGTCACTAGGTGCTTAAGCTTGAAGTCCAATTCCTGAGGAAAGGGAATAAGTCACTAGGTGCTTAAGCTGAAGTCCAATTCCTGAGGAAAGGGAATAAGTCACTAGGTGCTTAAGCTGAAGTCCAATTCCTGAGGAAAGGGAATAAGTCACTAAGCTGAAGTCCTAGACGTTGAAAGGACCAGAGAGAAGCTACTGGGAGGACCAGAGAGAATTCTCTCCACTTTAATTCAGCCTCTGGCTTGGAGCTGAAGTCTGCAGAACTGTGATGGCAAACCTATGGCACGTGTGGGCACATGCGCCGTTGCCAGCTGCTCTTCTGGTTTTAAGCATGCACATGCCGGTCTTTGCAGGCGCTGGAAAACGGCCTGAAAATCTGCCCAAAAACAACATTCTTTGAGGTTTTTATCTGGCCAATTTTTGGACTGTTTTCCGGGCTGTTTTCTGGTGTTCTGGCACCCACAAAGACCAGCTGGTGGGTGCACATGTGCATGCTAGAAACCCCAAAAACCAACTGGTGAGCGTGTACACAGCTGGCCATTTGGGTTCCTGGTGCTCCAGCATGGGCACTCAGTGCTGAACAGTTTCACCATGACTGTCCTAGAATTGGGACGAGAGCAATGACCACTGGAGAACTTTTAAAAGAAACTCCACTTTAAATTTAGATTTTTGGCTTGGAGCTGGAGTCCTAGAGAGGGCCATAGAACATTGGCTGTTGCGAGGACCAGAAGGAGAACTTTACTTGGGGGGGAAAAGCTTTAATTGGCATAGAGCTTTAAAAGCCTAAAATGCCTCTGCCCACATTACTTGGACTGGCCATCTATTCCTCTTTTAAGTCCCACTGCAGAAGTTTCAGTGAAATAAAAGTGTCACTAGGAAAACCTGTGTCTTGATCCCTTCTTTTTGTATTAATGGGTGTGCAAGCAGAGATCAAAGTGATGATCAATGAGCAAACAGTGGCATTTTGCACCCAGTAACACACTTTGGGGGGGGGGGGTTCTAAGGGAGGGAAAACAATTTTAAAAAAGGATCATTTCTGGATTAGGCCATGAGTTGATAAACTTGTGTAAAAGGTTCCTCGTCAATTCATTTCCTTATAAAATTTACATTATTTTTCCCCTGGCTTTTCACACACAAAAAGTATTCTTATGGAGTACCCATAAAGCTCATTATGGGATTTGGCTCCAAAAAATATTTAGGTATTTTCATAGAAATGTATTGCAGTAGGAAAACATACCAAGTCACAGCAGCCAAAAATATATATTTTTTTTAATTGTAACTTTTGCTTTCCTGAGCTGGAAGAATTTTGTGAAGGTTTGGCCTCTTAAGCTGAACATCACACAGCTGGTTTAGGGATTTTTTTTTTTTGCCTCAAAATCTGCCTCTCAAAAAGAGACTGGCTTCTGCTGGCAGATCAAAAAAACCAGCTTGAGAAATCTGTATCTCACTATATTTCTCAAAAAAAAAATAAAAAAAAATCAGCCTATATTTGTTATTTCATACACAAAGCCATCACTCATTTTGCCTCAATTTGCTTCTCAAATTTTATGTGTAAGTAAAGAGCTGTTTCACTAAAACCAACAACAGGAACAGCTTGGCAGCTGGTTGGGTAACTGCAAATTCCTCCTGACCAAAATAATAATAATTTCATGAGAATCGTTTCAGTTGACAATTCTTAAATATGTCTCTTCTAAAACTCTGAAACGTAAGAGCTATATCAACGTGGCAGGTTATTTCATTCGTGAACAAGTTCCCTTGATGTATCATAGCCACAGTAAATAAATTTATAGGCTAATAATAGTGCACAGGAATCACACCTGAACTATTCTGGCATTGGTACCAAGGACTCACTTTTTAAGCTTAGCTAAATCCGAGTTTTTTTCCATAAAATTCCTTAGGACAGGATCTTATATATCTTTTCCCCCAAACGTCTACTCCCAACTTCCTATTTGAATCCGAAGAAGAGATGTCCCCTCCAAATAAAGACTATTGCACTCTTCAAAACTGTACAGTAATATCATTGTAAAAGCATCGTATGTGCCTATAACTATAAGCAACTCGGAGGCTTCTAAAAATAAAAATAAACCCCAAGGAATTGCAATTCGAAGAGAAAACCTGCCTCCAATGCCAGTCAATCCTGATTTAACAGGCATCCCAGAATATATAACCGTTAAAACCGAACACGGGAAAACAAGCATTTCCTTTCGTAAGCTGGTACTAACATGACAATTCAGCCGGCTTGCCAACGAGGCAGCGTTGGCAAGGAAAATTCGAAATATTTTCTTTCCTGGAGCAGAAACAGGCTTCATAATAACGTCCGAGCATTCGTTTCCTTCCATTCGGGCATTGAATTTCGTGTTTTCGAAAGGTAGTTGCTTTTAACTCAAAATCCAGCCTCCAAAGAACACAGCCTCCTATTGGCTCTTCTAACCTCTTCCCTAAAATCAAAATAAATCCGTATCTTCCTGCTTCTGCTTGGGATTCTCCGTGATTTTAGTTCTACTCCGGTTCCAATGCGCAGAACTACACTGCTTTAAATCGAAACAGCTCTTCCTAAGCAAGGCAAAAAAACCTTGATCCCCGAGACTCAGCAACGTGCCCAGTTGGCAGCCTCCCCCTGCCCGATGGCATCCTCCACGCGTTGGTACCAAGGCTGGATTTTGGTGTGCTCCATCACATCGCCAAAAGCCTCCAAACCTTCCATGACCCGTAGGACTCCGTAGACTGCCTGTGTGGAGAAAAAAACAAAAAGCGGAAAATCATTACTGCACCTGCGTACGGTCTGCCAACTGCACAGTGGCAGATAGGACAGCGCTCCAGAGGGTCAAATTCATTGCCCAGAGGGTCACTGGTTACCCTCTCCCCTCCTTGGAAGAGCTTTATAGCTTTTCCCACTGGCTTAAAAAAATTCAAAACATTCTTAAAGATCCATATCATCCTGGGCACCTTTTTTTTTTTTTTGAACTATTACCATCTGGCAGCCGGTACAGGATAATAAAAACAAGGACAAATAGGCTGAAAAACAGCTGCTATCCCAGAGCAGTAACTATATTGAATTCTACAGTATAGTGCAATATTCATTCAATATCAGGGGTTTTCAATTCAATTGTGTGTAGAATGAGAAGGATGTGCGTTTGTGATTTATTTTCATAGTTGTAATGTGCACTGAAGATGGCATTTAATTTCGTTGTACGAGGTGCAATGACAATAAAGTAAACTAAACTAAACTCTTAATTTATAGGCAGGATTAGGGCCAACGAGAAGGGAGGAGACTTCCACCTTCTTGGCCCAGGACCAAAAAGCCACACTTCATTTTTCATGTAACCGGAAGATGTCCCAGCGTTGGAGTTTCTGAAAGACATGATTTGGGTGAAGTGAGATGTGTAAGAAGAGTTGTTGTCTCCTAGGACCAAGAGAGGTGTGTCACTCCTAGGACCGAGAAGGAACAAAAGGAAGAAGGGACATAACTTCTGGGCTCTGCTGTGCATTTGTAGAATACAAGAGGGGCTCCTGAGGCCAAAATAGACTTCCATCTATTCTACTTTTCATACCTCAGGATCTTCTAGGCAAGGAATGCCACCATAACTCACATCAATCACATAACTCAATCAACCGATGGAACAGAAGCTGCCTTCAGAAGTTGTGGAAGCTTCATCCCTGGAGGCTTTTAAGAAAAGACTGGACTGCCATCGGTCAGAAATGGTGTAGGACAGGGGTCTGCAACCTTAAGCACTCAAAGAGCCATTTGGACCCATTTCCCACAGAAAAGAAAACACCGGGAGCCACAAAACCTGGGTGGGCGTGGCCAACTCGATGTCACTCACTTCCACCAGTCACATGACCCCCTTCTAGACATGCCTACTCGGCCGGTCATTAGGGTAGAGAACCAGTTGTTAAAGAACACCGGGAACCACAAAATCCTTTTGACATATCTCTCTCCCTCTCTCTCTGTATCTATGTCTCTCTCTCCCCCTCTCTCTGTATCTCTGTCTCTGCCCTGGCCACTTCTCCATCCCACGCTGTCACCCTTACCTTATCTATCTACCTACCTACCTACCTATCATGTATCTATCTCTTACCATCTATCTGTCTGTCTGTCTGTCTGTCTAATGTATCATATACTTATCTACCTATCATCTATTCTATCTTTTATCTCGTCCATCTAGCTATCATATCTACAGTATGTCTATCATCTATCTACTTAACATCTTTCATCTATCTACCAATCTATCTAATCTGCCTGCCTGCCTGCCTATCTATCATCCCATCTATCTATCTATCATCTATCTATCTATCTATCTATCTATCTATCTATCTATCTATCTATCTATCCTGCTTCCCCCAAAATAAGACATCCCCTGATAATAAGCCCAATCGGGGTTATTTATTTATTTACCAATCGGTTTACTTATTTATTTTTTATTTTAATTTGATTTATATGCCGCCCTTCTCCGGAGACTCAGGGTGGCTTACAATCCGTTAAGCAATAGCCTTCATACTTTTGTATATTCATACAAAGTCAGCTTATTGCCCCCACAAACTGGGTCCTCAATTTACCTACCTTAGAAAGGATGGAAGGGTGGTGAGATTCGAACTTACAGTAATTGCAGACGGCTGGTGTTAATCACAATGCTATCAGTCTGCTGAGCCACCAGGCCCCTACACCCCTGGTGTAGGATCTCCTGCTTGGGCAAGGAGTTGACTAGGCAACCTACAAGGGTCCTTTCCACCTCTGTTCATTTGTATCTGTATCACTGCCAGGTTCTAGTTATAGGTTTCTCTCCAGTTAAAATGACAGAAAGAGGCCAAGTCAAGAAGTCCAGTCCAGAAGAAGCCAGTCCAGATGTTTTTCCACTGATTAATTGTTCTTTCAGGACAATTAATTAATCACTGGCTTCCCTCCAGAAGTTGTGCGTGTGCCTATCACTGGACAGCCACCTGTCTGAAATGGTACCGGGTCTCCTGCTTGAATTCTAGAATTTGGCCCTCCCTGCAGCCCCGGCAAATTTCCGCCAGCGCAGCCTTCAGCCGTCTCAAAAAGCTGAAGTTCAACAGGTAAAGCGGGGAATGGAGAGGCTGCATTTCATTAACAATTGGGCAAAGCAAAGGGCACGCGCCGAACGGGGGAACCAGGCTCGTTGTTTGTGTGTGCCAAGAACCCCCAAGACACCCCCAGGTTTAATCAACCATGGCCTCATCTCTTTACCAAATCGGCAAGGTTAGGATGGTCTCCTCCCATGAACTTCCGGTGCTTGCCAACAGCCTTCATCCAATCGTTGACCGCCTCGTACAAGTCTTGACGGACATCGTCCCGCATGTGGTGCCTGGATCGAAAGCAAAGATCCGCGTGAGAGATCCGTTCTTCTATTCACAGTAGAAGTGTCCAACCTTGGCCCGTGGACTTCAACTCCCAGAATCCCCCAGGCATCATGGAAGGAAGTGTTGTGTTCCGCCAGCAGCCTGCGGAGCTGGCAGGGGAGTCGGACAGCGAGGGGGCTGAGGAAGAACATGGGCCAGTCCTGGAGGCTGGGGAAGGCCTGGATGAGGGCTCTGCGTCGGAGGCAGAGATGGGGCCAGGGCCATCGGGGAGTGAGGTGCGGACTTCGGAGCCTCCAGAGGCTGACAGTAGAGAGGCAGAGGAACAGGAGGAGCCTGTTCCTAGTGCACGTATGGGAAGAGCTGCCAGAAGGCAAGAGCAGCTCAAGCAAAAAGGACGACTCAGGAGTAAGGCCAAGAGATGATTGGCCCCTCCCATAAGGCTTAAAAGACCAGCAACGGCTCTTGGCCTCTTTGCCTGGAAAACAACCATTGAGAGATTTGTTGTTCCTGAACTGTTGCCAAGAAAAGCCTTTGGCAGTTTGCCTAATTATCTCAAGATCAGAGATAAACTGAAGGATGGTGTTTTGAGGACTTTGCTTTCATTTAATTTGGAATAAATTGAGAATGAGTTTATTCTCAGCTCTTTTAATAAAATCTGTTTGTTTTTTGGAACTGTTTTGCATTTAATATTAACTACGTGGGCCTGGGTCACAACAGGAAGGAAAAAGTTTGGGAAGGACTGGGTTAGGGGCTATATCGGGGTGTCCAACCTTGGTCATTTTAAGACCTGTAGACTTCAACTCCCAGAATTCCCCAGCCAGCATGGAAGGAAGGAAAAAGTTTGGGAAGGACTGGATTAGGGGCTGTATTGGGGTGTCCAATCTTGACCACTTTAAGGCCCATGGATTTCAATTCTCAGAATTGAAGCATGGCTGGCTGGGGAATTCTGGGAGTTGAAGTCCACGGGTCTTCAAGCAGTTAAGTTGAACACTACTAATCTGCAGGTTCAGTGTACAGAAGACCCTCCCGGAGTCCAAAGCCTGGGCCTGCAGAAGCATCAGGGAGCACCAACCTTTTCTTCAACCTCTTGCTTACGAAGAACATGGCAGCCGCTCCCACGTATTTGGCAAAAAAGCCTTCCACCAGGCCAAACTTCCCTTCCCGCACGATGTAGTCGAAGGAAGCCAGGGCTTCTCCCGGCGTGCGGTAAACATTGGGAGAGATCAAATGGACCAGCCGATCGTCTACCCACTTCCGCCATTTCATTTCCTCCCTGGGAAAAAAGCAGGAAGTGTGATAATCCCCCTGGGTCAGGGTTCGGGGGGGAGCAAGCAGGAAGAGGGAGAGACAGCCCCCACCCAGCCTTTTCCAAAACCTCACCTACCCAAATACCAAAACTGGAGCCCCTCTCCCCATCCCATTCTCCGAATTTACAGGCATTCCTCGACATAGTGTTGTAGCCCGCCGGTGGCCAGCAGAACTGGACAGTGAGGAGGTTGGGGAGGAACATGGGCCAGTCCTGGGGGCTGGGAAAAGCTCGGACGAGGGCTCTGCGTTGGAGGCAGAGAGGGAGATAGACAGCAGCGAGGCAGAGGAATAGCTGGAGCCCGTTCCCAGTGTGAGCTGCCAGAAGACAAGAACAACTAAGAAAGCAGGGTCAACTTGGGAGTAAAGCCACACCTTGAAGGTGATTGGCCCCTCCCCTAGGAAACAAAAGAGGAGCGAATGGGGAGGGGGCTTTTGCAGGAAACAATTCGTTTGTTCGTTTGTTTCAAGAGTGGGAAGATCTGTCCGTGAATCCCAGAGACTCTGTGCCAAGATTTCCCTTGCACTGCGTTTGGAAACTATTGACATGGCAGCTTTCCAAGCGAGATAAGGTTTGTGTCGATAAGTATTCCTCTGAAAGACTGTTTGCCAGGCCTTGCTGACTGTGACTGATAGGAATTCACAGTCATGTAAACAAAAGAGGTTTTGCCGGGACCAAGACTCTGTTTCGTGCTTTTTCGTTCAGAACACGTACAACCATGATAGAGCCCAACATTCCTGTGGCAAAGCGAGACAGTTGTTAAGTGAGTTTTGCCCTGTTTTCTGGCCGCTGTTAAGTGACAGAAGCTGGGGCAAGCACCGGGAGCTCACCCCATTACGTGGCACTAGGGATTCGAACCGCTGAACTGCCGACCTTTCGATCGACAAGTTCAGCGTCTTAACCACTGTGTCCCCAATACAATATAATATTATTTTATTATATAATAAAATATTATATTATGTATATTATATATAATATATAAAATAATAAATTAAATTATATTGTTGACAATACAATAGTCAACAATACTCCCATCAAAAAAAGAAAATTAAAAAAAAGAGAGAGACAGGATTTCTTTTAACAGCAATCTGGGCAGGAAGATAAATCTAAAGCCATGATGGTTTCGGGTTCCTCCAGATTTTTGCACCCCGTAAGTTCAATTTTTGCAAACTTCCTTCCCCCCGACACACCCACAACCCTCCGAGCGAGACCAACTTACTTCCTTGCTTCCTCGACAGGATAAACGCAGAGAGACTCCTTGCTGTCCAGCATCAACCAATACTTGTTCCCAAATTCGGTCACCTCCTTCCCTTCGCTATTTGTGGCTGTTATGGAAGGGTAGTAAGTGGCGATTTCTTCCAAGCTCTTCCTAGAAAAGAGGATTATGTCCCCGTCAAAGCAGGCTCAGATCCTTCTTTCACAATAACAGTTACGTTGTAAGCCGCCCAGAATCACTGGATACGACATGGATCATCCTCTTTTAACGACCCCATAATCCTTTGCGGGGTGGAGTCTGGGCAACTGAATGGAGCAGAGGATTTTACTGGCCGGATGCCTTTCCTGTCGCCAATGCGGAGTTTTGTTTCAGCAGATATATTCTCATTGTGCCCAGAGAGAGAGAAATATCTCTCTGATAATATAGAAAATATAGACCTCAACTCATTTGGCGGGAAGGAGAATAAGAGGCGAAGAATGGAAGAATTTTCCTTCTCTCCCTAAAAGAAAGGCAGAAAAAAAATGATCTTTTACCTGGAAATAAGGTGGCTTTTAATGGCGCTGATGATGACGGACGAATCGTTCAGTTGCTGGAAAAAAAGGAGAATTAACGGTTAAGCATTTATATACCAGAATGCAAAATGGAGGCGGTATTCAGCTGGTTCAGGTCGGTTCGCCCGAACTGGTAGCGGAAATCGAACTGGTAGTGGAAATCGAACCGGTAGCGGAAATCGAACTGGTAGCGGAAATCGAACCGGTAGCGGAAATCACGGGCCCCAGTTCTATGCCATCCTATTTAGGCACTTTTTTGTGTCTGGCCGCATGCATGGAAGGCCTGCACACCAGCAAAGAGCATGCACGGAAGGCCGGGCACATGCATGGATGCGCGCACGCTCACATTTGCGAACTGGTAGGGAAAGTAAAAGTGAATAGCACTCCCGATGCAAAATCTCTTTCTCACACTTAGCTCAGCTTTAATGCTTCATTTTGATCTATTCTAACACCGTCATGGGTTAATTTATTTAAACGTAGCGTGGTGAAATGTGGAAAAAAACAAAAAACCCAGAAAAACATTTGTGTACGTTTTTATGATATCTCACTTTTTTTCCCTTTTACCTCCCCCCCCCCACTTTCTCCTTTTACTTGACATCATCTGGGTATTATGATGTAATAAAATTGAATAAGAAATTGAATAAGAAGTTGAAATGAGAATAAAGATAATTAGGAAATCGAGGCTGCTTGAATACCACTTTAGATTGAACTGAAAAGGGAAACAACAGGAGAGAGGGGAAGGAATAGAGAGAGAGGAAGGGAGAAGAGAGGAGAGAAGAGGAGAAAGAAGAAAGGGAAAAGGAGAGGAAGAAAAGGGAAGGGAAAGAGGAGCAGAGGAGAAGGCTAGAAGGGGGAAGAAGGGAGGAGAGGAGAGGAGAGGAGAAAGAAGAAAGGGAAAAGGAGAGGAAGAAAAGGGAGGGGAAAGAGGAGTAGAGGAGAAGGTTAGAAGTGGGGAAGATGAGAGGAGAAGAAAGGGAAAAGGAGAGGAAGAAAAGGCAGGGGAAAGAGGAGCAGAGGAGAAGGTTAGAAGGGGAAGAAGAGAGGAGTGGGGGAAGAGAAGGGGAAGTAGGAAAGAGAAGGAGAGGAAGAACGAAGGAAGTAGAAGAGAGAGGGGAAGGAAGAGAAGGGGAAGAGAAGAAGAAAGGTTGGAGTAAAGGTAAAGGGTAAAGGAGCAGCCCCGAAAAAGTAAAAATGAAAAAATGAAAGTTAAAAGAAAAGATGAATAAAAATGATGGAAATGACTGTACATGTAAATGTCTTTATTTTTTTATTTTTATTTTTATTTTATTTTTTATTTGATTTATATGCCGCCCTTCTCCGGAGACTCAGGGCGGCTTACAATGCGTTAAGCAATAGAGACACAAAAATAAAAAAAGAAACACAATACATTTGCCTCCGTCGGATGGGGGGGAAAAAGAAAATTGAAATCGATAATCGTACTATTTATTCAAAGTCAACAAAATTGAAAACCAAAACAAACCAGGGCGAAGTAAATAAATACAATAGATACAAAGGCCAAACTTGGAAACTCACCAGAGCACTTTCTGTATCGATGAGGAGAATGGGGACTTTTCTGTAGGAGGAAAACTTGATTTCTTTTCTCATGACCGGGTTCACCTCCACAATGTCATATGGCAGCCGGTGATAATCCAGGAAAGCTCGGACTTTGCTACAGAACGGACAGGTTTTATACTGGTAGAGCGTCAGATGGAGATGGCTATCCGGCAGGATCTAGAAGGGAATACAAGATATATTCCAGCTTCGGGCTATTTGCTGGCAATTTCTTCCCTGAATGAAAACACACAACCCAAGGGGAAAACACACACACACACAAGTTGTATCTAGAAGGGAATTCAAGATATACCCAACTTCGGGCTATTTGCTGGCAATTCCTTCCGCGAATGAAAACACACAACCCAGGGGGAAACACACACACACACACACACACGTTGGATATAGATATAGATTCAAGATATATCCAGCTTCGGGCTACTTCTGGCAATTCCTTTCCCAAATGAAAACACACAACCCAGGGGGAAAACACACACACATACATAAACACAAAGTTGGATCTAGAAGGGAATTCAAGATATATTCCAGCTTCGGGCTATTTGCTGGCAATTCCTTCCCCGAATGAAAACACACAACCCAGAGAGAAAACACACACACACACACACACAAGTTGAATCTAGAAGGGAATTCAAGATGCATCCAACTTCGGGCTGTTTGTTGGCAATTCTTTCCCCGAATGAAAACACACAACCCAGGGGGAAAACACACAAGTTGGATCTAGAAGTATGAAGGCTATTGCTTAATGCATTGTAAGCCGCCCTGAGTCTTCGGAGAAGGGCAGCATATAAATCAAATCAAAATAAAAAATAAATAAATAGATTTAGATCTAGATTCAAGATATATCCAGCTGACAATTCCTTCCCCGAATGAAAACACACAACCCAGGGGGAAAACACACAAACACACACAAGTTGTATCTAGAAGGGAATTCAAGATATATCCAGCTTCGGGCTATTTGCTGGCAATTCCTTCCCGAATGAAAACACACAACGCAGGGGGAAAAGTAAACACACACACACACACACACCAGTTGCTCCTTCCCTATTCCAACCTAAAAAACCCCCTTTTTACAAATGCTCTGCTTTTGCAAAAAAAACGCTGCAAGGCTCTGATTTTAGCTGGCATTCAAGACTCTCTCGCCCTGACCATCTTTTTAAAGCCCTGTGGACTTCAACTCCCAGAATTCCTCCGCCTGCCTTGCCTGAACGCATGGGAATTCTGGGAGTTGAAGTCCAAGGCAGTTTAAAAAGGGACCCGGGCTTGAGATTCAACCTTGTGGCAAAGCTCAGCAAAAAAAATTATTAAAATTAAAATTAAATTAAAAAGGCACCTTTGGGGCGGCTGCTTTTTTTTAACGGGGGGGGGGGTTAGGAAGAGACACCAGGTTGCAAGGTGAAGCCCCCCCACCATCCTCCCTCTCCCCAAGTACCCAGGAGGGTCCCCACAACCCGCTGCGCCCCATGGGAGTTGCAATCCCCCCCCTCCTCTCCCCTCCCCGGATGGGTATTGCAATGGTTGCAAAAACTGCAATGATTGCCACGACGGTTGCAATTGCAATGATTGCAACGACGGTGCAAATTGCAATGATTGCAACGACGGTTCAAATTGCAATGATTGCAACGACGGTTGCAATTGCAATGATTGCCACGACGGTTCAAATTGCAATGATTGCAACGACGGTTGCAATTGCAATGATTGCAACGACGGTGCAAATTGCAATGATTGCAACGACGGTCTTCCACCCGCCCTCCCCCGGTGCCTCCCCTTCCTCGCTTTTTACCCCGTCCCGGTGCTGCTCGGCCAGCTGTTCCTGGGCTCCGAAGCGGCGGTGCAATGTCCGGCCGGTGCCCACCGCGGCTCCCAACGCGAAGGCGGCCCCCAGCAAGACCCTGGAGGGAGGCCAGCTCCAGCCACGGCCCGAGCTCCCGGAGGAGGAGGAGGAGGAGAAGCCGGCCCGGGGCAGCCGCCACGCGCTCCTCCACCCCAGGCCGGCCCAGCCGTTGCATGCAACCCGCGCCAACGCCATCTTCGCCTTTTTTGCAAGGAAGGAGGCGGGCGGGCGCCTGGGGAAAACCCGTAATAGCCACAAGAGTTGCAAGGGACCCCTGGAGGTCGTCTAGTCCAACCCCCTGCTCACGCAAGGAGATTGCAATCCGTGCAAACTCCGGTTGGGTTTTAAAGAAATCCCTTTCCCCGCAAGATGCATCCCGGGAAAGCGGCCGGAGTCGGGGGTGGGGGAGGGGAGGGATTGCAAGCTTGACACGCGTTTGCATTCACACGTTCAGCGGCTCTTTTGCGCCCGAGGGTCGATCCTTTGCGCCTGGGGATTTTTTTTTAGGGGGGGTTAATGCAAAGCGTGCTCTGCAATAGCCCCCCTCCCTTCGCTAAGGCGAGGCTTCCCCGTTTTTGCACGGGTGTGCTAAACCTGGGTGTCGTGTGAACGCGGCCCGCTTGGGATGGAGGCTTGCCGAGCAAGCGGGTTTGCAAGGAGGAGGCCTCGAAGGGAGAAGCTTCCCCCCTTTTCCTCCCTCCCTTGATTATCCCCCTTCTCGGGAAATAAAATTATTATCATTAAATTTTTTTTTTTGCTTGCATTCTTCCATCTGCAGGGTAGATTTGATGTCGCCCGCCCGCGTCGTTTCAGACCGGCGGGCCTCGCCTAGGACCATAAACTTTAAAGCAAACGAAGGGGCGGGGTTTCTTAAAGGCGCAGGCGCCGACCTTCGGAAGGAGGTCAATGGCTAGTCTTAATTTCACCGCCCCTTTAACAAAAAAGGGTCCTTGATGGGCCTTCATGGATTTAAAAAAAAAAAAAAATAGGGGGGATGTGAATAAATCTTTTGTTTGCTGGGTGCTTCCTCCCTCAAATTACCCCCCCTCTTCTCCCAATTGATTATTATTGTGCATCATCAATGACTATGAAGGTGATTAAGGGCATTGCTGCCTTTCATGCTTAAATTAATTCAATTCCATTCAAATCTTTATTATGGGGCACAATTGAAGGCAGAAAATCTCTGACCCAATCAATCTCACATTTATAATAATGCTGAAATAAATTATTGTTATCAATAATACATTATTATTACAAAAATGCTTAAATGCTTCTCCCAATTAAATTGCTTAAATGCTTCTCCCAATTAAATTCTATTGATTATTATTGTGCATCATCAGTAACTATGAAGGCGATTAAGGGCATTGCTGCCTGTCATGCTTAAATTAATTCAATTCAATTCAAATCTTTATTGTCAAGGCACAACAGTTGAAGGCAGAAAATCCCTGACCCAATCAATCTTAACATTTACAATAATGCTTAAATAAATTATTATTATAAATGTTATAATAATAATTTATTATATATAAATAATATGTTATAATTATTATAATTATTATGCATTATTATTATGCATTATTATTATGCATTCTTATTATTATGCATTCTTATGCATTCTTATGCATTCTTATTATGCATTATTATTATGCATTATTATTATTATTATGCATTATTATTACATAAATGCTTAAATTAAATTATGCATACATTAAAATGCATAAATTAAAAATGTCTTTGATTTAATAGTCATTGAATAGATTTAATACTAATCACCTATTCTTATCTGGGGTTGGTTTGGAAAATCACCTGGGGCGAGGGGGCGGGGCTTAGCCGCTTAGATCTCGGAAGGGGGCGTGGCCTGGCCATTTTGCAACATTGTCTCCGCGTTCCATCCGGGAAATGGTGGGCGTGGCTTAGCCGGGGCTTCCCAAGCCGGGATGTCGGGTCCGAACGGGGAGCCGCAGCTCCATCTGGGGCGGGGCGGCGAGGAGGAAGAGGAGGAGGAAGGCTTCGGGGAGGCAGGTAACCTTGAGATCCCTTTGCAAGGGTAGTAGATCCCTCCCCAGTGGATCCCTCTCTGGGGGGGTGGGTGGGGATCTTCCTTTGATCCCCCCCAAGGGGATCAAGCCTTGAGATCCCTTTGCAGGGGTAGTAGATCCCTCCCCAGTGGATCCCTCTCTGGGGGGTGGGTGGGGATCTTCCTTTGATCCCCCCCAGGGGATCAAGCCTTGAGATTCTTTGCAAGGGTAGTAGATCCCTCCCCAGTGGATCCCTCTCTGGGGGGGGATCTTCCTTTGATCCCCCCTCCAAGGGGATCAAGCAGGGAAGGGAGGGCTGCTTTTGCAACGTGCCTGGAGCTGGAGAAGGGATCTTAATGGGGAGATCCCTGGCAAGTAGAAAGCCAGCAGATCCCAGGGGACCGACCGGCCCAGAAAGCATCTGTGTACCTCGCCGTGATCCTTTTGTAGATCCATGTTCCTTTTGTGCCAGATGGATGGCTGTATTAAATAATGGCAGTAATTAAATTAATGACTGAGCTTGTCGATCAGAAAGGTCGGCGGTTTCGAACCCCTAGCACAGGTCTCCTGCGAGAGGAAGGGGGTGGACTAGATGACCTCCCAAGGTCCCTTCCAACTCTTACCTGTTACTGTTAACATTAATATCTGGGTTTCTGCCTCTTCAAACTGGGTGGGTGTCTGGTTTTTTGTTGTTTTTTTTTAGCCAGTCTGGCAATCATCTCAAAAGATTGCAGCTAAGGGAGATTTTAAAATAGAAGAATCATAGGGTTGGAACTGGGACCTCAGAGGTCATCTAATCCAGCCCCAACTGGGAACCTTATACATACTATCCAGGTCAAACCATCGTGCAGTCTGTTTTTGAAAACCTCCGGCGATGGAGCCCCCCCCCCAAAAAAAAATAAATCCCGGAAGGCAAGGCTAAAATAAATTTTACTTATTTATTTATTGCAATTACTCCTCTGGTTATATTTTATATCCAATTTTTAATGGTTTTTTTAAAAAACAGTTTATGATGCTGTAAGCATGCCCAGAGTCGTTTGCAAGGAGACAGGGGGTCAATAAATTTTATCGATGAAATAATTAAAAGAATTAATAATTAATTAGCACTGATAATGTTCCCTAGTTGGGTCATTAAACGTCTGCAGGAAAACAAGCAAGCTCAGAGAGCACAACAGTCTTCCTTCTCCTCCCTTTCTCCTCCCTCCTCTTCTCTCCACACACCCTTCTAGCACTGATGATGTTCCCTAGTTGGGTCATGAAACGTCTGCAAGAAAACCGCCATGCTCAGAGAGCACCAAGGACCCCTCATGTTGTGGCCCATCAGCGGCCTGTGCAGCTAGTAGCCGATTCAGACAGGGAGGAGGCTGGTGTGGTGCTGCGCCAGCAGCCTGTGCACCTGACACCCGAGTCAGACAATAAGGAGGCTGGAGAAGATGTGGTGCCAGAGGCGGGGATTCAGCCAAGGCCTTCAGAACCTCCGGAAGCTCCCATAAGTGAAGAGGAAGAAGAGGAGGAGCCTCTTCTTGATGCACGGGCGCGCAGAGCTGCCAAAAGGCAGGAGTGGCTCCTCAGGAGGAGGTCTCCTCGAGAGTAAGGCTTGGGGCTAATTGGCCACTCCCTCAGCCTATTTAAGGAGGAACCCCGACTGAAGCAATTTGCAGGGAACAACTTCGTTCATATTCCTTCGCGTCTTGATTCCAGAAACGTTTGATTCGGCTCGTTTCTCTCTCGTCAGTTTTCCTGCAAATTGCTTCTGGGCATTCTGCCAACTACAGTAAGATTACGGTTATCTGAAATAATGTGCTTCAGAATTGAGTTATTATTGTTTGGATTCTTGTCGGCTGATAATGAACTTAAATTAACAGCTCTTATTCAGAAAAGACTGATTTAAACTGTACTTGTGTTCGAACAACTAAGAAAAACTCATGAGTAGTCCTTAATTAGTAAACGAAGGTTTGTACGGACTTTGTGTGGGCTGCATTCTTTGGGGTCCGAAGCTGGGGCAGTGTTGTGGCTCCGTTACCGGAGCCTGTGTCATCATCAGGAGAGGACTCCGAGAGTGAAGGGGAGGAGTTGGCAAGGCCTCCCTCTCCAGGACCCTCCTCTCTGGCAATGCCTTCGGTGTCCGCCGAACGGCAAGAGATAGGGCCGGGGCCAAGCACATCCACGCAGCCACAGATGGACAGTGATGAGGGTAATGAGTCTTGGCTGGATCCACGCCAGTGTCGCAGAGATAAGCGCGCGCAACAGAAGATGATTAGGCTGAGTCACTGGACCACACCCCACAGGATATAAAAGGGAGCGTGGTGGCCAGTCAAACCTTGTGACGAACAAAGCTGAAAGCTTCCACGCCATTCTGCATTGCCGGACTTTTGCTTTACGACTTTGCTGGAGTATCTCTGGACTTGATTAATTCCGTAATTATTGAGCTGCTTTCCTTTGATGTATCAGAAGCGGGGAGAAGTTATCTCTCCTCTTTGTAAATAATAAACTCTTGGCAGGCAGCCACTAGGTTGTTGCCAAGTTCCATTATCCTAAGGAAAAGGGTTTTGCCGGCTGGTCTTTAACTCCTGAACGTCTGTTGGCGTGCGTGCGTGTGGGACGGGGAAAGAACAGGCAGAACACATGTCAACCCTGAGCTACAAATATCCTCCTTTATGAATTAAAAGACGGAGTTAAGGCCCAGGGAAGAAGGGCCTGGATCCCTTTGAAATCACTTTTGCCTTTTTCATTCTCTCCCGAACAGAATACGCCGCCATCAACCTCATGCTGGACCAGATCAACTCTTGCCTGGATCATTTGGAGGAGAAAAACGATCACCTGAACACCCAGCTGAAGGAGCTACTGGAATCGAACCGGCAAACTCGTCTGGAGTTCCAGCAGCAGCAGCAGCTCGGACAGGATGGGGAACTCCGAAAAGCCCAGCCGGATTCTTAAGGATCGAAAATCAACTTTTTGAGACTTTTTAAAAGGTTGCAGCTCGCTGGCTGATGAGGTTCACCGGCAGATTCTCTTAAATCCAGCTTTAAAAAATCATCGCAGAATCTCGTGGTTTTGAGTTGGGAGATCCCCGTACTCAGGGGTGAAATGCTCCCGGTTTGGACCGGATCGCCCGATCCGGTAGCGATGGAGGCGGGTGGTTCGGAGAACCGGTAGCAAAAATCCCTGCCCCCGCCCCCATTGCCCAGCTGAGCTGCGCAATCATCAGAGGCTTTTTTAAAAAAAAATTTAAAAGCATTTTTTCTACGACGTCTTCGAGGTTATAGAAAAAATGTTTTTAAAGGGAAAAAAAGCCTCTGCCGATCAGGCAAGTCATCTGGGATCGTCAGAGGCTTTAAAAAAAAAAAATAGCCTCTGCCGATCAGGCAAGTCATCTGGGATCGTCAGAGGCTTTAAAAGCATCTTTAAAAGATCTTGTTAAGTGTTTCTTAAGCAAGGGCTTTTTTTAATAAATGGGTGTGGCTGTGAGAATTGTCATAGGGTGAGGTAGTGAGCGTTTTAGATTTGATTTAAATTTCATGTCGTGACCAGTTTCAGTTATGATGGCGCTGGAAAAAAACCCCCTGACTTATGACCGTTTTTCACCCTTACGACCGTTGCAATATTCCCCGCGGTTAGGAGATCAAAATTCAGAGGCCTGGCAACCAGCTCTCATTTAACAAGATTTGGCAGGGACCTCAGAGGTCATCAAGTCCAACCCCCTGCCCAAGCAGGAGGCCGTACATCTGCCTCTACCCAGGATCAAACTCACAACCTCCTGACTGCGAGGCAAGAGCTCAACCTCTAGGCCACCGCAGAACTTATTTATAATGGTTGCAATGTCCCCACGGGAATGATATGATCCCCTTTTGCAATCTTTTTGCAAAAAACCAGGTTGCCAACATAACAACTGCAGTGAGCCACTTAACAACGAACGCAAGAAAGGTCATAAAAGTGGGGTCCAAAATATTTTCAGCAACTGTCTCGCTTAGCGACAGAAATTTCGGGCTCCGTTGTGGTCGTAAGTCTTGTTAATTGCCATGCCACCAAACCTCTCTCTATTTGGATAATGGGATAGAATTCTGTCTAGCATTAACTGTGAATGTCTAGCTTAGTTTAAACCAGAATGGGTCTGATTGAAAAGGCCAACATTCAGGGGCAAAACAGGCTACCTTCTGCCCCGGTTTGTAAAAAAGGCTTATGGTTTTTTTAACCATGGTTTACCACTCCCGGCTGAGCCGATTGCACAAACCCTGGAAAACATTTTCTTGCAATTAACTTACGATTGTTGGCCCGAATTTGGTCACTGATTAAATGATGGAACAGTGTACAAAATATCTCAGATTGTCTTTCCTGTTTCAAAGTGCTTTCTTCATTTTTTTTTCTTTTTCTTTTTTCCCTTTCTTTTCCTTCCTTCCCCTTCCTTCCTTTGTTCCTTCCCCTCCCTCCCTCTTTCTTTCTCTTTTTTCCCTTTCCTTTCTTTTCCTTCCTTCCTTCCCCTCCCTCCCTTTTTTCTTTCCTTTTTCTTTTTCCTCTTTCCTTCCTTTTCCTTCCTTCCCCCTCCCTCCCTTTCTTTTTTTCCCTTTCCTTCCTTCTTTCTTTCCTTTCCCTCCCTCCCTTTTTTTTTTCTTTCCTTCCTTCCTTTCCTTTTCCTTTTTTCCCCTTTTTTCCTTCCTTCCCCTTCCTTCCTTTGTTCCTTACCCCCTCCCTCCCTCCCTTTCTTTCCCTTTCCCTCCTTCCTTCGTTCGTTCCCCTCCCTCCCTTTCTTTTTTCTTTTCTTTTTTCCCTTTCCTTCCTTTTCCTTCCTTCCCCCTCCCTCCCTTTCTCTTTTTCTTTCTTTCTTTCTTTTTTCTTTCTCTTCTTCTTTCTTTCTTTCTTCCTTCTTTTTTTCTTTCTTTGTTCCTTCCTTCCTTCCTTCCTTCCTTTCTTTCTTTCTTTCTTTCTTTTTCTTTCTTTCTTTCTTTTCCTTCCTTCCTTCCTTCCTTCCTTCCTTCCTTCCTTCTTCTCTTTCTCTCTCTCTCTCTACGGTAAGCCCTGCATTGAAGACAGAAAAAAAAAATGTTGGGGTGTTTTCTTTTCTTTCCTTTTCTTTTTTAATTTTATTTTTGAAAACAACCAACTAGGAAAACTAGAACGTTTCTCTCTTTTGCTAAAAGTGGAAGGCGAAGGGAGGGAAGAAACTCTCGGGGGGAAAACTACAGCGGGGGGTGGGAAAAATAGTTTTGCCTCCGCTCTCATCTCGCCCTGCGCCGGCTGGACCGCCGGGGGGTAACGACTGTCTCCCCTTCGGTCGACGTGGAAGGCACCCCATCCTGGCTGGCTGGTCCTTTGCTCGGTTCGGCTTCCCCCGGCTCCGTCGATGCAGAATCTACAGCCAGTTTTTGCTGAATTTCCAGGCCGGGCTCTTCTCGCGGGGGGTACGGTCCGCCCCCCTCGCCTGACCCCTCGGCGTCTTGCCCCACGGAGCTGTCGCTCCGCGGCGAGGACGGCTGGCTTCTCTCGTCAATGACCAGGACTCCGCAGATATCCTCCGTTTCAAAGTATCCTGAGCACGTCTGGATGACCTCGGGGGACTCGCAAGCGGGTGGAATTCTCTGGTGCCCGGTAATGGCTTCTTCTGGATCGTGCGTTTGGGTCGCGGAGGGAGGTTGGGAGTCAGTCGGCTGCGAGGGGGTCTCGGTATGTTCCGCCGTGGCCTGGAGCTGGGAGGCCCTGTACCGCTGCAGGCAGAAAAAAAAAAACCCCACCTCTTTTTGAAAAAGTGCTTCAAACATGGTTGTGAGCCAGGGGTGGGCTTCAAAAATTTTAGTAAGGGGTTCTCTTCCCGGTTGCTGGGTGGCCGTGGCCTGCCCTCCCCAGGCTCCGGAGGCTTTTCTCGAGCCTCTGGGGAGGGTGAAAACAGCCTCCCCAGGCTCTGGAGGCCCTCTGGAGGCCGGAATCGGCCTTCCCAAACTTTCCGTTTTTCGCCCTCCCCGAGCCTCCGCGCACACTCTGCACTTACCTGCATCCAAAATAAGCCGCGTGGGGCCTCTGGGGAGGGGCAGGCGGTGCCAGCCAGGAGTGGGATTTGGGGGGGTCTCCGAACCGCACAGAATCTTAGCTAGAGGTTCTCCCGAACCCCCGCGAACCCCCAGCAGCCCACCCATTGTGAGCCCCACCGCAATTTTACGCAGCACGCTAGTCCTCATGGAGATAAAATACCTTAAGGGAGCAAAGTCCAGTTGGCCGAATAATGAAGGCTCTGCAATGAGCCTGTTCAGGCAAAAAGAAATTGCTTTTTTTGGAGGGTTATTTTTTAAGGTTAAAAGCCAAGCAAAATCCAAATGCAGGAAGTCCTCAATTTAGGACCGGTTGCTTAGTGACAGTTTGATGTTACAACCCCGAAAAACCAGGACTTAAGACTCAAATTTTTAGTTCTGACCTCAGAACTTTACGCAGTCGTGCAATCGCATTTTGTGCATTTATTTTTATTTATTACATTTCTGGGCTTATTTATTTATTCAATTTTTAGTGTTTATCTTGTGGTTCGTTTTGCAGCGACCTGCGGTCGCGTGGCCACAATTTATGACAATTTCTTTTCCTGGAAACCAGGAATGGCTTCCAATTTCCTGCACAAAAAGAAAGAAAGAAAAGGCCCATAGCGAGCAACAGATCCCTTTAATGACTGCCATCAACCAGGAATTTAAAATTGGTCACGAGATGGCCTCAGGATCGTCACGGCTGGTGGCTGAAATTCAGGGCTCCATTACGGTCGTATGTCGGGGACTTTCCTGCAGCCCCGATCGTGGACAAATGCCGGAACGGGGTTCAGATTTCCAGGGCCAGAGAGGAGAACTTCAGCTGGCCCAGAAGGAAATTGGAAGAGGAGGTGGGCGAGTGGATTAAAGAATTAGCGGAGCTGGTGATGGGAAGCGTTAGATGGCAGGGAGGGAGGGTGGAGGAGATAGCAATGAGAGGGAGGAAAGGGAGAGGGAGGAAATAGGAAGGAGGGAAGGAGAGTGGAAGGAAAGGAGGGAGGGAGGAGGAAGGAAGGAAGATAGGAAAGAAGGCAGGGAAAGGGAGGGAAGAAGGAAGGAAGATGAGAAAGGAGGAAGGCAGGGAAAGGGAGGGAGGGAGGGAGGAGGGAGATGGGGATGAGACGGAGGGAGGCAGGGAAGGAGGGAGAGAGGAAGGAAGAAAGGAAGATGAGAAGGAAGGAGGTAGGGAGTGGGAGGAAGGAGGGAGATGGAGATGAGAAGCAGGGAAGCAGGGAGAGATGGAGGGAGGGAGGAGGGAGATGGGGATGAGAAGGAGGGAGGCAGGGAAGGAGGGAGAGAGGAAGGAAGGAAGATGAGAAGGAAGGACGTAGGGAGTGGGAGGAAGGAAGATGGGAAATGAGGGAGGGAAAGTGGGAGGAAGGAAGGAAGATGGGGATGAGAAGGAGGGAGGCAGGGAAAGGAAGGGAGGGAGGAAGGAGGGAGATGGGGATGAGAAGGAGGGAGGCAGGGAAGGAGGGAGAGGGAGGGAGGGAGGAAGGAAGATGAGAAGGAGGGAGGGAGGGATGGAGTGGGAGGAAGGAAGATGGAAGGGAGGCAGGGAAAGGGAGGAAGGAAGGGAGATGGGAAAAAAGAAGGAGGGAGGCAGGGAAAGAGGGAGGGAGGAAGAAAAGAGGGAGATGGGAGATGGGGATGAAAAGTAGGGAGGGAGTGGGAAGAAGGAAGATGGGAAAAAGAAGGAGGGAGGCAGGGCAAGTGGGAAGGAAGGAAGGAGGGGAGATGGGGAAAAAGGAGGGAGGAAGATGAGAAAGAGAAGGAGGGAGGCAGGGAAAGGGAGGAAGGAAGGAAGGAGGGAGATGGGGATGAGAAGGAGGGAGAGTGGGAAGAAGGAAGATGGGAAAAAGAAGGAGGGAGGCAGGGCAAGTGGGAAGGAAGGAAGGAGGGAGATGGGGAAAAAGGGAGGGAGGAAGATGAGAAAGAGAAGGAGGGAGGCAGGGAAAGAGGGAGGAAGGAAGGAAGGAGGGAGATGGGGATGAGAAGGAAGGAGAGTGGGAGGAAGGAAACACTAACCTGCAGGTTCTCAAAATGCATCCGGGACTTGCAGTGGGTGAGCCGCGTGGCCGAGTCGCTCGAGTAGAATTTGTGGCACAGCTGGCACAGGAACCCTGCCACGGGCACCAGGAAATCCAGGCCTGGCAGAGGAGGGAGGAGAAAGGCAGGGCACGGATCAAGAAAGCATCAAACCCCCAGGAGGGAACACAAGGGCAGCATTGCAGCTCCCAAGAGAAGGTATCGAGAATCTTATTACCAGTAATCCTCCACTTACCACACTTCGTTTAGTGACCAAAGTTACAACGGCACTGAAAAAAGTGAATTACGGCCCGTTTTCACACTTAATGACCCTTGCAGCAAACCCCAGGACTCGTACTTATGACGGTCGCAGAGTCCCGGGGATCCCGTGACCCCGTTTTGCGACCTTCTGACGAGCAAAGCAGATTCACTTAACAGCGATTAACTAATTTAAGGACTGCGGGGATTCGCTTAGCAGAAGCGGCAAGAACCGTCATAAGATGGGGCAGAACATCGCCGAACAAAGGTCTCCACTCAGCAACGGAAAACGCTGGGCTCAAAACGGTGGCCGTAAGCCGAGGACTACCGAGGGAGGACGACGTTAAGGAAGGTGGGCAGGACTGGAGAGACGGTTTGGTGGTTCCGCTTCTGGGAGTGGGGGAGGGGATATGGGGGAGGGGGGGGGCTTTTCAAACCAGGAGGTATTTCTCTACCTGTTGAGCCTCTGCAGGAGGAAAAGCAAAAGAGGAAGCAAGAAAAAAAAGAGGAAAGAAAACACACACACGCACAAAAAGATACAACACGGAGTGCCAACTCGCTTCTCTTACCATAGACCGTGTCCGGACAATACTCGGCGTTTCCTCCTGGGTCTTCCACAGATGTTTCTCTCTGCCCAACCTGGAAGAGGGATGAGTAAGAGATTAACAGAGTGGGAAAGGGACCTTGGAGGTCATCTAGTCCAGCCCCCCCCCCACCGCCCAAGCAGGAGACCCTACAGCATTTCCGACAAATTCATTTATTTATTTTATTTTATTTTATTTTATTTTATTATTTTATTTTATTTTATTTTATTTATTTATTTATTTATTTATTTTTATTTTATTTTTTTATTTTATTTTATTATTTTATTATTTTATTTTATTATTTTTATTTTATTTTATTATTTTATTTTATTTTTATTATTTTATTATTTTATTTTATTTTATTTTATTTTTTATTTTATTATTTTATTTTATTATTTTATTTTATTTTATTATTATTTTATTTTATTTTATTTTATTTTATTTTTTTTATTTTTTTATTTATTTTATTTTTTTTATTTTATTTTATTATTATTTTATTGAATTTCTATAACGCCCTTCTCCCGAAGGACTCAGGGCGGTGTACAGCCAAAAATAAAACCATGACAATATAAAAATGAAAAGCAATTTAAAACAATTAAATAAATTGGCCAAAACACTCTAATAAAACAACCCATTAAAATAGTAAAATGTTATTATTATTTAGGCCGTCTCTTCTTGAAAGCTTCCAGGATAGGTAGGTAAGTAGGTAGGTAGGAAGGAGAAAAGGAAGGAAGGAGAAAGGTAGGTAGGAGGAAGGAAGGAAAGAAAGAAAAAGAAAAAAGAAAGAAGATAAGTAGGTAGTTAAGTAGGATGAAGCTCCCACAACTTCCGGTTGGCAACTTCTGTTCCATGGGTTGATTGTTCTCACTGTCAGAAAATTTCTTCTTACTTCTAGGTTGAATCAATCAATCAGAATAGAATTGGAAGGGACCTTGTAGGTCATCTAGTCCAACCCCACGCCCAAGCAGGAGACCCTACGCCATTTCTGACAGATGGCAGTCTGGTCTTCTTGAAAGCCTCCAGGGATGAAGCTCCCACAACTTCTGAAGGCAACTTCTGTTCCATCGGTTCATTGTTCTCACCGTCAGGAAGTTTCTCCTTATTTCCAGGTTGAATCTCTCCTTGGTCTTTCCATCCATTATTCCTTGTCTGGCCTTCGGGTGCTTTGGAAAATGGCTTGACCCCCTTCCTCCTCTCTGGGGCAGCCCCTCAAATATTGGAAGATGCTCTCCTGTCTCCCCTGGTCCTTCTCTTCACTAGACTAGCCAGGCTCATGAGGAAGAGGAGGTGAGAATTTAAAACTCCCACCTTTGACTTCGAATGTTCACAAAATAAAGAGAATTTCATATTTGGATTTTGCAAAAGAGGGGGAGAAGTAGAAACGTGTTCCTAGCATGTTGGGTCCCAGCCCTGCGGGGTTAAAGGTTAGGGGGGAATCCGTGCTGCAGGGGAAGGCTCTGGCAAAGACGGCTGTGGATGAGTGTTTGTGTGATTCCCCCAGCTCTGGGAGAAAATTCCTAGCTTAGATGGCTAAGAAATATTCTGCAAACCTTTTTCCAAAGGAAACACGGAGAAGGGATTGCAAAAAAAAAATAAAAGCGGACACATCCCTTAAATTGTGGGAAAGAGGAAGATGGGGGGAGAGGCATGAAGGCTCCCTCTCCCCTTCCCCGAGACTCAAGGGGGTCTCTGAGGGAAGATGGCAGGAAAAACACAACTGGCCTTGCAAAATTCAATTATTACAGCCTAGTTTAGTTTAGTTTAGTTTAGTTTAGTTTAGTTTAGTTTAGTTTAGTTTAGTTTTAAAATTTTTTATTATTATTATAACATAAAATGACATTACAAGACATACAACATTTATATATATAATATATATAATATATATATATATATATATATATATATATATATATATTCTCTTAACAGATTATTTCGTGATGGTCTTCTAGTATTTACATTTTCTCCCTTTTCCCTTTATATTATTCCAGTTTCTTCTTGCCCCCCCTTTTAATTAGTGTATTTATTAAGACTCGTATTAACTTTATATTTTCTATACAATGACATATTCATTCTTTCCTTTTTTTACATTTCACCCCTATTTTTCTTCTCCGTTATTCCTCTTCCTATTCTCCAGCCACTTATACCATTTTATAACTTTTAGTTTAGTTTAGTTTTAATTTTTTTTATTATTATAACATAAAATGACATTCAAGACATACAACATTTATATATATACTCTCTTAACAGATACTTTGTGATGATCTTCTAGTATTTATATTTTCTCCCTTTTCCCTTTATATTATTCGTTTCTTCTTGTCCCCTTTTAATTAGTGTATTTATTAAGACCCCTATTAACTTTATATTTTCTATACACTGACATATTCATTCTTTCCTTTTTTACATTTCACCCCTATTTTTCTTCTCCGTTATTCCTATTCCTATTCTCCAGCCACTTATACCATTTTATAAGTTTAGTTTAGTTTAGTGTGATTGTACCTCATACAATGAAATTAAATGCCATCTTCAGTGCACATCATAACTATAAAAATAAAACACAAACATACATCCTTCGCATTCTATACAATTGAATTTGAAATATCTATCTATCTATCTATCTATCTATCTATCTATCTATCTATCTATCATCTATCTATCTATCTATCTATCTATCTATCAAAATAAATAAATATAAATAAATGACATGGTGGCTCAGTGGCGAAGAGGCTGAGTTTGTTGATTGAAAGGCCGGCAGTTCAGCGGTTCGAGTCCCTAGCGCCGCGTAACGGGGTGAGCTCCCGTGACTTGTCCCAGCTTCTGCCAACCTAGCAGTTCGAAAGCAGGTAAAAAAATGCAAGTAGAAAAATAAGGACCACCTTTGGTGGGAAGGGAACAGCGTTCCGTGCGCCTTTGGCGTTGAGTCATGCCGGCCACATGACCACGGAGACGTCTTCGGACAGCGCTGGCTCTTCGGCTTTGAAACGGAGATGAGCACCGCCCCCTAGAGTTGGGAACGGCTAGCACGTATGTGCGAGGGGAACCTTTACCTTTTACCTTTATCCAGGGTGAAATCCAGGAGGTTCTGGAGAACCAGTAGCGTAAATTTTTGAGTAGTTCAGAGAACCGGCAAATACCACCTCTGGCTGTCCCCCGAGTGGGGTGGGAATGGAGATTTTGCAATATCCTTCCCCTGCCACACCCACAAAGCCAATTCGATTTAATTCTGCTTTTAAATTATTTTAAATTTTATATTGTATGTATTTTAATTTTGGCTGTTCACCGCGCTGAGTCCTTCGGAGAAGGGCGGTATACAAATTTAAATAATAAAAAAATAAATAAATAAATAAATAAATAAATAAATAAATAAATAAATAAAGCCACACCACGCCCACAGAACTGGTACTAAAAAAAAATTGGATTTCACCACTGCCTTTATCTGAATAAAGCTGATTTCTAAATTTGCTGGCCAGTCCCATTGGTTCTGCTCTCCCTCCTCGCAAATAAACGGAGCTGCTGAGAAGGCCCTTACCTGTTGATTTACGGCCTCCGCCAGATCCAGCTGGGCCCCTTCCCCTGCTTCCTCATCTTCCTCTTCGTCGTCATCATCCTGCTCTTCAAAGCATCCCACGGCGTCCACCGTAATCAGCTCTTCAGAGTCTTCGGGCCTGCCCAGGTCTTTCTCGCCCAGCCTCACCTGGCCAGGTGCGGGAAAAGAGGGAGTCAGGAAGGACGGTTGGAGAGAACAGACGGGCAAGAAGAAAGAGAGTTCATCAAGACCCTGGATCCCACCCCGCCCCACTTTTTTTTAACCTCTGACCTCTTTAGCCTTCTGCTTGTGCTCCAAGGATTTCATGTGCTCCACAAACTTGCGGGGAGTTTTGAAGTAACGGCTACAGACGGTGCAAAAGGGACGCAGGAAACGTTTGGCTAGCTGGAATGAGAGGGGGAAGGAGGGAAGGAAGGAAGGAAGGAGAGGGAGGGATTGGGAATAGGGAGGGAGGGAGGAAAGCAAGGAAACAAGGAAGAGGGAGGGAAGGACAGAGGGAGGGAGAGAGGGATTGGGAATAGAAGGGAGGGAGGAAGAAGGAAAGGGAGGAAGAAGGGAAAAAAGGGAGCGAGGGAGGGAGGAGACGGATTGGGAATAGGAGGGAGGGGTGGAAGGAAAGCAAGGAAACAAGGAAGAGGGAGGAAGGACAGAGGAGGGAGGGATTGGGAATAGAAGGGAGGGAGGGAGGAAGGAAAGCAAGGAAGAAAGGGAGGGGGAGGAGACAGATTGGGAATAGGAGGGAGGTATGAAGGAAAGCAAGGAAACAAGGAAGAGGAAGGAAGGAAGGAGGAAAGGAAGGAGGGGAGGGATTGGGAATAGGAGGGAGGGAGGGAGGAAAGCAAGGAAGAGGGAGGAAGGAAGGAGGAAAGGAAGGAGGAGGAGGGATTGGGAATAGGGAGGGAGGAAGAAAGCAAGGAAACAAGGAAGAGGGAGGAAGGAAGGAGGAAAGGAAGGAGAGGGAGAATTGGGAATAGGAGGGAGGGAGGAAGGAAAGCAAAGAAACAAGGAAGAGGGAGGAAGGAAGGAAGGTGGAAAGGAAGGAGAGGGAGGGATTTGGGAATAGGAGGGAGGGAGGAAATCAAGGAAACAAGGAAGAGGGAGGGAAAGACGGAGGAAGAGAGGGAGGGAGGGAGAAGAAGGAAGGAAAGCAAAAGGAAGAAAGGGAGGGAGCGAGGGAGGGAGGATGGAAAGCAAGGAAACAAGGAAGAGGGAAGGAGGAAGGAAGGAGGAAAGGAAGGAGAGAGGGATTGGGAATAGGAGGGAGGGAGGAAGGAAAGCAAAGAAACAAGGAAGAGGAAGGAAGGAAGGAAGGAAGGAGGAAAGGAAGGACAGGGAGGGATAGGGAATAGGGAGGGTGGAAGGAAAGCAAGGAAACAAGGAAGAGGGAGGGAGGGACGGCGGAAGGAAGGAAAGCAAGGAAGGAAAGGAAGGAGAGGGAGGAACGAAGGAAGGGATATTTAGGCCAGCTGAACAATTTTCTGCCATTTTCCCCAAACCCAGGTGCCCTTCACCTGCTGAATCCAGCTGCCCTTTACCTTGTGTTCCTGAGTCCTCCGGTGTTTGATGAGGTCACCTCTGAAGTTCACCTGGCAGGTATTACACCAGCGCTGCTGGCTTTCCCTGCAAGGAAGGGAAACCTCTCAAGGAAACCAGAAAACCCAGAAGGATTCCTCGGCCTCCTTTTCAGCCCCCCATCGCCTCCCAAGCTCTCCCATAACCACCTCGTCCTTTGGCCCGAGAGAGCAAAACGGCTCCAAATCTGCTTGATTTTTCTCTCGTTTGCAACCCGGAGGATTTCCACTTCTGGTTCTTGCTCCAGAGCAAGGCAGGGGAGCCCACCTTCACTGCTGTGTAAGTGTGTGTATGGGTGTGTGTTGTGTTGAAGTTCTTTTTTGGGGGGGGGAATAATCTACCCCCAGAGATACGAGTGATCTCCGACCTCCGGACTTTTCGTCGGGCCCTAAAAACTTACTTTTTTCAGTTAGCTGGTCTGTCTTGATTTTAGGGTTGGTTTTAAAATTTTGATCCTGATTTTAAATTGACAAGTTTTAAATTATGGGCCAAATTTATTTAATTATTTTAAATCTATTTTTAATTGCAATGCTATGTATAAATGTTTTTATTTTGGCTGTTCACCGCCCTGAGTCCGAAAGGAGATGGGCGGTATAGAAGTTTGAATAATAAATAAATAAATAAATAAAATAAGTTTTATTAGACCTGGCATTCTCTTTGCCGTGCATACTAAAATGACAGGTAAGTATCGTATATACCTCATTACTTATATACAATTAGTCTGCTCAGTATTTACATACCTAAAGACATCCTTCTTCTATCTATATTACTTAAACGTTTGTTTTATCCATTATCATTCTATTGTAGTTACATACATAACTCTAATTCTCCGTTTTATGAATCCTAGTCAGTTCTTGTTTTTCGAATCCCTTTTCTGTCCCAACCATTGATACCATTTGCTCCCTATCTCCTGGTATTCTGACTCGCCTTTATTTTTCAATTCCAAGATCCATTTCTGCACATTTTCTTGATCACTTCATCTTCTAGAGGAGTTTCCTTATTTTTCCAATTTTGGGCAAAACTCATTCTTGCTGCTGTTATATTATGTATAATTAAGTAAGTTACCCCTTTACTGTATTTCCCATTTATGATTCCCAATAGGAATAGTTCTGGTTTATATTTTATTTCTTCTCCAGTTATTTCCACCAACCATAAATAGATCTTCTGTCAAGCACCCTGTTATTAAGACCAGCTGCCTGCAATTACTGCAGGTTCGAATCTCGCCAGGCTCAAGGTTGACTCAGCCTTCCATCCTTTCTAAGGTAGGTAAATTGAGGACCCAGTTGTGGGGGCAATAAGCTGACTTTGTATAAATATACAAAAGGATGAAGGCTATTGCTTAGCACATTGTAAGCCGCCCTGAGTCTCTGGAGAAGGGCGGCATATAAATCAAAATTGGAAAAAAAAAATACTCCTGTGCTTTTTTACATAACCACCACATATGATAGTATGTGCCTAATTCGTGGTTGCATTTCCAACATCTTGGTGATGAATTTCTAAACATTTTTGCCAATCTCGCTGGTGGAAGGTGCCATCTGTAGAACAGCTTATATAAATTTTCTTTGTATGTTTATTTTCCTGTTTTTTCCTGTGTGTTGAGGTTCTTAATTTGCATGCTGCATACCTACCCGTCTGTCTCGGCTGGCACCGCCGTCTCCTTTCCCAAAGGCAGCTTGGAGACGAGGCAAACGTTGCTTCTCTCCTGGATTTCCTGAAGCCGCTGCTGGTGTTGAACCCCTGACAGGTGAGCCTGGAAATTCTGCAGCAAGACAAGCGTGAGAAAGCAAGTAAGAAAAGAGAAAGAAAGAGAAAAAGAAAGAGGAGAGAGAGAGAAGAGGATAGAAAGGGAAAAGAGAAGAGAAGGGGAAGGATGGAAATAAAAGAGGAGAGAAAAGGAAAGGAGAGGAAAGGAAAGGAGGGGAAGAAGAGAAGAGGGGAAGGATGGAAAGAGAAGGAGGGGGGAAGAGAAGAGGGGAAGGATGGAAAGAGAAGAGGAAAGGAAAGGAGAGGAGAGGAGAGGAAAGGAGGGCGAGAAGAGAAAAGAGGGGAAGGATGAAAAGAGGAGAGGAGAAGAGAGGAAGGGAAAGGAGGGGGAGAAGAGAAGAGGGGAAGGATGGAAAGGAAAGGAGAGGAAAGGAAAGGAGGGGGAAGAAGAGGGGACAGATGGAAAGAGGAGAGGAGAAGATAAGAGAGGAAAGGAAAGGAGGGGGAGAAGAGAGGAGAAGAGAAGGGGAAGAATGGAAAGAAAGGAGAGGAAAGGAGGGGGGAGAAGAGAAGAGGAGAAGAGGGGAAGGATGAAAAGAGGAGAGGAGGGAAGAGAAGAGAAGAGAAGAGAAGAGAAGAGAAGAGAAGAGAAGAGAAAATGGGTTAGCTCTCCCATCCAACCAGACCCTTCCTTGGAATCCGGACCCTTGCAAAGCAAGCAAGAAAATCAAATCAGTTTTTTTTTTTTACTGAGAGAGCTAAAGGGAAGAAGGCCAGCTTGGTGATACTGATAGTCCTTGACTTATGACCACATAATTGGGACCAGGATTTCCACTCTTACATAGCCATTGTTAAATGAGTGATACTCGCTTTTGAATGGAAGGAAAGAGGGGGAGAGGGAAGGAAGGAAGGACGGACGGACGGAAGGAAAATGAGAGGGAGGGAGGAAGGAAGAAGATGAGAGGAAGAAAGGGAGGGAGGGATAAAAGGAAGGAGAGAAGGAAGGCAAAAGGGAGTGGGAGAGAGGGAGGAAGGAAGGCAGGGAGGAAGGAAGGAAAGGAAAGGAAAGGAAAGGAAAGGAAAGGAAAGGAAAGGAAAGATCAGAGAAGGGAAAAGAGGGCGGGAGGGCCATTGTACATGCAGACAAGGAGCCACGACTGGTAGATTTTTGCTGTCTGTTTTTTCTTTTCTTTTAGGGACAAACCTGCTTTCTTCTCCTTCTCGAAGGACTTCAGCATTTTCTTCTTCAACAAAACCCGGAAGTTGACTCCTGGTTCTCCCTAGACAGAGGCGTTTGCAGAACCCACCTATCCTTCTGCCCCCAAGCCCCCCCCCCCCACCCCCCCCCTGGGCAAAGCCCTCGCCCCCCCCAGCCCTTTCCCCCCCCCTCCTCTGCACCTGTTGGTTGTAGCAGTTGCTTCTGCAGACGTAGCAGTAGAATTTCAGGGCAGCTCCGGGAGGGGCTTGCTGGGGGGGCCCGGAGGGGCCCGGCTTGATGGCCGACGTGGTGCTGATGGCCCTGCTCTCGCTGCTCTG